CGAATTTGAAATTGTTGCAGTTTTTGATTCCTCTCGTATCTCGGTTATCTTATAACTTATTAAAAAGGTAAAAACTGAGATCCATAGAGCTTTTCACGTAGAGTCCACTGGCATAACTAGTTTTTTGTTGCGAATTGTCATTTTCCAAATATGACTCAAAATTATGTTGTTTTTTTTTAAAATGGGACACTATTATTATGATTATATTTATTAATTTGTTATTTTATTTGGCTTGTTATGATCTTTCTATAAATCTATACTAATATATAAAATCCTTAAGTGACTGACTCCCTGATTAATCACGATCGTCATCAAACCACTCAACGTAAGTAGCTCGATTTTGGCACACAGGTTGATTCTAGGGTGTAGAGGTTCGATAAGAAGGGATTTCTCGAAATTCCAGTTCCAAGGGGGTGAAACCACCCCTCAAATATTACGATATTTTTTATTTAAAAAACGGTCAAGTTTCCGAAAAAACGCTTAAACACGTATATTTTATTTTGTTTATTTACATATTTAAAGATTTTTTAAAAATGTATACAGGGTGTTTCGAAAAATCTGGTCATGGATTAATCACGATCCTGCTTAAAGCGCTTGACGTAAAAAGCTGATTTTTGGAAAACGGATTGACTTTAGGGTGTAGAGGTTCGATAAGAACGGATTTTTCGAAACTCGAATTGTAAGGGGGTGAAACCACCCATCAAATATTAGAATATTTTTTATTTAAAAACCGGTGAGTTTTTCGGAAAAACTCTTAAACACGTATATTTTATTTTGTTGTTTTACATATTTTAAGATTTTTAAAAAATTTATACAGGGTATTTCATAAAATATGACCATTGAGTAATCACGATTCTGCTTAAATTGCTTGACGTTTAAAGCTGATTTTTGGCAAACGGATTGACTTGTGGGATGTAGAGGTTCGATAAGGAGGGTTTTGGCGAATCTTAAATTCCAAGAGGGTGAAAACGCCCCTCAAATATTACAATATTTGTTATTTAAAAAACGGTTAGCCTTTCAGGAAAACGCTTAGACACGCATAATTTATTTTGTTTTTTTACGTATTTTGAAATTTTTAAAAAAATCATACAGGGTGTTCCAAAAAGTTGGATAATTGATTAACAACGATTCTGCTTAAACTGCTTGACGTAAAAAGCTTATTTTTGGCAAACGGATTTTTCGAAAGTCAAATTCCAACGAGATGAACCTACCCCTCAAATATTACCAAGTTATATAATAATATCGCCATATTGTTTTTTATCGTGCTGATATAAAGTGAGAAAATTTTATCGAGTTTGTATGTTAATGGAAATTCTTGCTTTGCTTTATCATCACCATTACAAATGATTAATTCGACGCGAACGAAGTCGCGGGTACATGCTAGTATAATATATAATAGATAATTTTGCATTTAAATCCATCGTATTATCTTAATAAACTGCACTGAAAATGAACTTGCAGCTTTGAACTAACACGCTCTGTCAATCAGAGTTATTGATATTTTTGATGCACTTGTTTAGTAATTTTACACACATAAACTAGCGTGGAATAGGCAATAACCAAAATTTGATGTCGAATAAATTATTTGTTCCTTTTGATTATCTAATTTAAACCGGCCGCCCATGAAAAAGAAATAAAATTTAATAAAAGCTTAATAATGCATTTTTTATCTTGTCTATGAAAGTAAGTATCGAGTATATAATATTTTTAGAAAGCTCACAACAAGACAATAAAAATTACAAAAAATAATATTCAGGGCATTACATTTAAAAACTTTGGGTCATATCTCAAAAATGACAGTTCGCAGCGAAAATCTAGTTACACTACTCTGGATTCTACATGAAAAACTCTACGGAAATCAGTTTTCACATTTTCGGTAAGTTATAGAATACGGAGATACGAGAGATGTCGAAAAAATCAACAATTTCAAATTCGCCCTGTATTTCAGGAAATTAGAGGTTTAGGACAAATCTGTGAGTGACACCTTTAGTTTTTAAAAAAAATAGCGTAATAATGTGAAAACCACATCATTGTACGAGAAACACCATAAAACACAAAAATAGACACTCTGTACATCTTTTTCCCAATAATGGTTCCTTTATTTGATAAAAATAAAGAGAATGCTTCGTTAGTTTTTTTATTGAAAACATATTCTCAAAAATATAAAAATATAGAGATTGATGATTCAAATATATTTTTATTTTAAAGTTGTAATTTAAAATTTCCTTCTCAAAATTACCTATTAGCGGTTTTACAAATTATTATAACCAGTTTGAAACAAAATTGTCTGTTCATTTAAAATGTTCTTCCAGAATTGTGCAATTACGAATTCTTTTAAGTAATTAGACTAAAATTCGTTATATTGTGCATGCTGTATACATGGCAATTCAAAACAAGACATTATATTTTTCTCTATCCATTACGTCAAACTACGATTTTTCCAATTGAGAATTTTTAACACCCTATATAGGTACGTATAGTACCGTATTATCGAAAAAAAACAGCGTCCAGATGGCTTGGAAATGATGATCGATGACATTTCCCATATAATTTTACATGTAAAATGACATCGATCTTCATTTCATAGCCATCGCTGACGCCGTTTTTTTTTCAATCATATCGTAGTTTCATCCAACTTACATTTTAATAAATAATTTTTACATTATACCTAGTTTTACTAATTTTCTCTTTTACAATTTTGATAACTGCATAATAATATCAGATCAGAATAATAATATAATTTAATTGATTCCTCAAGATAAAATGAATTAAAATGGCCTCAAGCAATGCCCACTTTTTGTTGGTGATATATTTAACATTAGATAAAATTGGATAAAATTTGTATTGATTTTTGATATAAATTGACAGGTTAAAATTTAATTTTAGCAGGTTTTTAGTGAAAGCGCTTGTGACATAAAAGAAAAAGCTATAGGTACCCTACCACCATCTGAACACAAGTGGCATCAAGTTTCAACCTACATTTTCGATAGATGTTCAATAGATGGCAAAAGTTCTTGATCTGATAACCCCATCAAAAACGAAATTGGGACCTGCATTTGTGCATCGGGTTACAATCGAAATCCTTTATGTAAAAGGAGGTTAAATACACCCTTTTTAAAACCTTTTCTTTTAGATTTATTTATGGTCGATTTCAGTTTTCAAGTTTCCTCTTACAAATAATTCTTTAAAACTTAAAAAAATGTATATAACAAATCACTGCAGTTTTTTCGAATGTTGGATTATTTTGTATGGTAACAATGGATTTAATACATCGGACTTGGGCTGCGGACAAAAGTACCATACGATCGAAAAAAAAAAACGGTGTCAAAGACGGCTGGGGAAAGACAATCGATGATAATTTTGGCGAGATCAAGCCCCAGACGTCATTACTTGGCCGTGTGCTGATATCAGCTAATATAAGTAGGAAGAATGGTAGAGCTATTGGAGTGAAATGTTTGCATAGTTGAAAACGGCATCAGAAAGAGCTGAGAAATGTAGATCACTCTCATTCCCTATGTAAAACTATATGGGGAATATCATCGATCGTCAGTTGAAAGCCAAATGCACGCCGTTTTTTTCGATAATACAGTACCATAAATGGATGACCGAAATACAGGGTCAGTCTTAAATGAGTGCAAACATTGTTAGAGCTAGTATATTTCGACCCCAGAAACACGTTTATAAGGTTTTTTTCGCCAAAAAAAATGTTTTGGATTTTTTTTTAGTTAAAAACATAATATATTTATAATATGGTGGTAATTCTATAGCTAGTAGGTTAAATATACAAGAAAGAAAACTCAGAAAAGATCCAGAGGTTCCTAAAATTTAAGCGGAAAATCAATTTTTTTGAAATTTTCAAAGTAAAATCTCGGTTATTTTGGACATATTTGAGAGAAAATATGCTTCTTTTATCGAGATCTACCAGCCCTGAAAATATTTGCACTTATTTAAGACTCACCCTGTATTTACTCGTAAGAAATTTCCCAATTTTTCAGAAAAGTAATTCATATTCAAGAATCAGAAGTACCTAGTCATTACTTATTAGATATTGTTACATATCTCTTATTGTGATTGCAAAGAAATATGATCTCTTAAACATATTTTTTGATGTAATTAACAGATAGATCAATCTAATCATAGAATCTAATCAATTTTATAAGTCATTCGTTTAATATTTTGCATATTTTCCGCAAATTTTTTTAATTATACCTCTGCCATGCATGTATATCTTAGTTTAAATATTACGTTGTCGAAATTTCTTGACAGTTGTCGTTGGAAATTATAAATTATTGAATTTGTTCATCTGATCCATATTGAAAATTTTAGGTTTCCTATTGTTATTAATTACAGTCGGGGTAAGAAACACACCCAGACTCGCTGAGGGCGATCTACGATTGACTTCTTCAATAAAACCACTAAACCAAATATAGAATATTACAACTACCAGGCCCCAGGCCCTAGTAGCTTGGGTCATGAAACTAAAATACTACTACCATAATTAATGACCATAGATACATTGGCGTAACTACAGTGGTGCCCGGGGGTGCCGGGACCCCCCAGGTACTGCTGGGCACCCCCCAGAGAAATCTTGAATTACGACTCTTGGCTACGTATTAAATTTTATTTGCTTGTGATGTAGTAAAAATAACGTTTTCTAGTTTTTTTTAGTTAAAATTATTTTATTGTGTTCAAAAATTGTGTTAATTTTAATTTTTTTAGAAAATTCGTAGGTATTTAAGTAATCTACAGGAACACGGTTTGAAAACCAAGTCTATGAAATTTATTAATAGAGAAATTCATGTAAAAGTTTTATTCAAAAAAATGTGTTTTTTAATATTATTCTTCCTTTTTTAAAGAACAAAAGTCCTAGGCCCCCCTGAGCTCAACCCCAGGCCCCCCCATGAATTGCTAGTTACGTTAATGCATAGATAAATGCAAAGGATAAATGACTTACAATAATGATTGCTACTGATTGCTACTTAAACAACGTCAACTCATTAGACGTTGACATTATTTTGTAATTAAAAATTTACAAAAAAAATATTAAGACGCTAGTTAAATCATGGACTCTATTCCGTTATTGTTGGAAAATGAAAATGGCGATAAAATATCCACATTCCTAAACAATGCTTTTCAAGAAGAATTACAGAAGGAGCAATTTCCTTTACATATAGCACCGAATATTAGAAAGTATAACGTTGATGACGATTTAAGTTACGAAGATCCTTCTAAAAATGCCATACAAGTTCTGGTTTAAAATAAATTAACATTATTTTATGTATTGATCTACATTTTTTAGATACATGAAGACTATTTGAACGAATCGGATATCCTTACTACAATAGAGAAGACTATTATAAAAGACCATGCTGAATTTTTAGTTGCTAAACACAATACGGAACAAGATGAATTTATAAAAGAAATGTGTAAACTAAAATCGTGTGACATATTTAATTTGGATCAATTAGACAGGACAGATGTTATGAGATATGGCCTAATAGATAAAAGCGACTTATATCCACATTTGACAAGACAATTTTTAGGTCAGTTAAGTAAGGGGGCGTTCATAATTACGTGAAGCCTTTTTGAATATTTTTTTGACTCCCCTTCCCCACTGCACAGTGGTTCCCAGATAGGTCATTACTTAGAAATATTAATTTCAAAATGTTTGCATGAAACTGTTGCTAATACTTTTCTTATATTCATCTATAAACGATACATAATAAATAACAAAATCAAGCAAGCCTAGTGTAGCGCTTTTGTTTATTAGAAATGTTCCATTTTTGCTACTGGTATCAAGCTGACATAAACAGTTTTCAGATAACGCCAATTAATTACTTATTTTATTAAAATTGATAAAAGCTGTGGCCTTTTCTGTAATGGACGTTCGAAAAGAAGGTTAAAACAACTGTTTTTTTATTTTTGCACTTAATTAAACCTAAGTAATATTAGTTTTTTTACATTTTTGCTTGTCACTCTTTAAGACTTTTAGCTACTTACCCTTTCAAATCCTCTTTAACGGCATGATAATACTTGTTGCTTAAAGAATATTGCTTATAAATTAATTGCCACTGGCTGCCGCGAATTGCCGCCGGATCTTATACCGGGTGGTTAAAGATTGACTTTTTGTCTTAAAATAAAAGTAACTTATTTTTTCCTCTTCGTGTCAACTTATTTCGTGGACAAACAAAATTGTATTTATAAAATGAAACAACTGTCTCTTTTATTTTTTCAATATTTAAAATAAATTTGACCTTTTCAATATGAAAAGACATGTACATATGTGCAAACATAATCTGTATACCTTTCCGAATAGTTAGAACTTAAAATGCAAATCACACGAACTGGGCCCAATTTTTTTAATACATATTACATTAAGTTTTTTATATACATTTATTTAGCATTTGTTATCAATTTCTATTAAAAAAGGTGCAGTCAAGCTATATCTAGATATCTAACAGTTATGACCGCGCAGCTAATTAAGGGGAACCACTGTGCACTGGCGAGATGTGGTGAAATTTGCCTTAACCCCCCCTCCCCTCCTACCTTTAATCTCACGTTAGATCTTTAAAAATTGGTATTTTCAGTATAAATGCGTTTTATATGCTTTATTATTTTTGTTAATACCTACTTGTAAATATTAGCATTTCAGATATTTTAGATCTTAATCTAAAATCACAGTGATAACTTTAAATATTTTGCAATACTTAAATGGCAACTACTGACCCACGTGGTAATTCGATCTGGACCCATCCTGTCTACATGGTCTCTTCAACAGCGACGCCTTGCTCTTACCCATCTGACAACGTCCTGTACTCCCAACTCTCTTTTTAGCGTGTTTGTGTTGCGTATTCTGTCGAGCAGTGTAGTCCGTTTTATTTCGTTTTATTGTTCGTAATATTTTCATCTCCGTTGTTCTCATTTTCCTTTTTGTTTTTGATGTTTCTGCTCTTGCTTCTGGAAATTATTTTCAAGTTTGTAAAACGGCCGCTAGAGGGCGCAACAGCTATGGAAAATAAGAAAATGGAATTTTTACAGAATTTTGCCTAGATAATGGGTACTATAAATAAAAGCTTTATAATCTTTAGTAAATTTTGGATTTTTTTGTTAGAACCATTTTTCTCTATCTGCTAAAATAAAGTGGTGGGGGAAGGTTATACTGTCTTTATTTAAATGTTAATAACTCCTGACTCTGGATGATCGGAATTCAGCAAACGAGGGCTCGTTTAAAAGAGCGTTTCTTACTCTATATTATACCATAAAAATAATAATAATAAGCTTTTGAACGCATACGCTAGGGGGCGCTGTCTTACAATTTAACAAACAATGCGCGTTTTTTCAAAAAAATTAAATACGATAGGATATGTAATTTTAGCTGATAGTAAAGAGTTATAAAAGCTTAAAAAGTCAGCGAAAACCGCTCCTTGATATCTTCTTTCAAACCGAAGATATTAGCAAAATTATAATAAATACCAAAAAATAAGCCCTTAATTGCATATTAGTTGGCTTGGAAATGACGCCATTCTAATAAAAAAATAAGATAGAAACAGTTAGTATATTTTAAAATCGACGATATACCAGAATACCATAATACCCAGTGGCGCATCCAGAGATTGAGTCTGGGAGGGGTAGTGGCAATATTTAAATAAAGTAATAGATTTAAATTATATTTTCGCACAAAGGTATTATGACTATATGGAAAAAATTAAGCTTAGATGGTTCTGGATTTCTATTTTAATTGACATTATTAATTTATTTTGTGACAATTTTGTTTTATGCCAGATTTTCTTATTTATAATTTTTTTCTGGGAGGGGTAATTACCCCCATTACCCCTCCCGTATATGCGCCCCTGATAATACCAGATGTATTAATATCTAATAATTAAGATATTAATAACAGTGAACAAGAAACGATGCCTCAGTGAAGTCATGGTAGGCTTTGGAGAAAAGTTGCTTTTGTCGTAATAGTATCAACATCAAATTGTGTGTTATTATACTTATTATATCAACATTTTCATTATTATATTTTATATATTTTCAATATATCAATACTACCAAATAACTACTAATACTAAATAAGTTTACATCTATTCATGGAGTTTAGTCTATAAATATGTTTTGCTTCTGATTTTCTCATTTTTTACACTGTTTTTGGCCCGAAAAAAAATTTGCTGACACCCCCTCTCTCCCCTACGTGAAGTTTAGATTTGACTCTCTCCCCCACTAGATTCCCTCACGTATTAATGGTCGCTCCCTAACTTATGTTTTGTTTTAATATAATTATTTAAATAAAATTTTAGATTTTCGATTTAATACGACATTACACAGATGTAAAAACTGCTTTTACAGACCAGTTCTAACAAAATCTAAAAAACCCAAATTCATACAGAAAAAGTGTGTATCTGGTAAGTAAACTTATAATTTATAAATTAAATATGGTTTTCTTTTCAGTGATTTACCTAACAACATAGAAAATACTTTGACAGAAATTGATAGGTCTAAACAGTTTAAAATAACACCTGAGGTTGTAGTATTCCACAATTATAAAGTCAATAAAACATATGAGGTAGCTATACAGAGCGTGTCTTTGGGACTGCCAGTTTGCTGATTTTTGAAATTAAATTAATTAATTAGTTTTGTAGTTTATCTGTCTTTAGTAGACCTTTAGAGATTCATCTCGTTAAAATTACTATCGATTGTCATTCCCCAGCCGTCCTTGACGCCGGTTTTTTTTAAATAAAATAAGTCGGCTATTTTAAACTTAAAATTATATTATAATAGAAATAACTGACATGAAAATAACATAATAACATTTATCTAATCAAGAACAGACATAAAAAAAAACAATAAAATCTGCAAACGACAAAAGATGACAGATAATAATCTACTTTTTAATTAAAAAATAACAATAAATTAATTTAATATTCGCTCGCTGCGCAGCTTATATTTATATTCTTTTCTTTTTAGCAATATTTCAAGATTACCAATACTAGTAATCATTTGCAATCGATCAGTGTTAAGACACTTCCAAAATTAAAAATATTTACTATTATGTGTGATAGTGCTAGAATTGCACCTGGAATGTCATTAAAAGCTATAATTAAATTCAGAACTGACGTATATCTACTCGAACGGGATGAAATTATTTTCAAAAACGACAAAGGTATATTTAAAACATTTTTTGTAATATTAATAGTTAAATCTTATATAGGGTGATCCAGTGCCTGAGAACTGAGAATGCTTTATATCAGGTTTTCTATTTAACAGTCTATTATAGCCGGAGAGCTGGCGACATAATTAGAGAACATATTTTAGGCAAGTTAGAATAACAAAAAAAATAAAGTTTAATAACTTGTGAACTCGAATCCTAAGTCTGGCTGGGGGGTTGGGGGTATTTCGCCACTGCGCCATTTCGCCGTTGGCAGCCGATGCGGCTGACGTAACAGTATTTTGGAGTGCTTCAAATTTTCATAAAAACAATTTTTTTTCGGTTTAATTTCAATTATTTCCAGGCTTTTAATTCAGAGATTATTTTGTTGGAATTAAGTTACCATGTACAAATATGTATTTATAAATTTAATATTGACGTGCATAGTGTAAATAGTTTAGAATAATTACTGCAAATAAATATTTTAGTAACTACTAATTTTGCTACTAACTACTAAATCACAATATATAAACATTTAAGTTGTGTTGCAAATAAAAAGAGGATAAAGAACATTTAAGTTGTGTAGTTTGTAAAAAAGTTACTAGTGACAAAGTTATTGTTTTTGATGAAGGCAGACTACAAAAATGCAAAGAATTTTTAAAAGTGCGCCAACAACATGGTTTAAAATTTAAAGAAGTGGTTTTACCAAAAAACGTAGTCCCAACAAAAGGGTACCATGTACAGTGCTTAAATATGTGTCACAAGAGTGACACATATTTAAGCAGCATAGAAGCTTTAATTATTAAGCAGGATAAAAGATTATTTAATCTTTCGAGGATTGTAACTTCTTCGGGTGGCATTTTAGGGCATATCTTCAAAGGAACTTTTTGTTTTATTTTTATCTCGAGAATCACTGACCAAAGTTAGATACACTATTTCTTTGACACCATGTATATTATTTTATAGGTCTAATCCTGAAGTTACCTTTAATATGCAAAATGGACCCTCCCAAATTATACTGCGTGATCAACAGATCCACCGATTATTCTATTGGGCTTCTTGAAAAGAACGCATTGCAAAATAAATCGTTTTCGGTGAAGAGAAAGAACGCACTCAATGAAACTATCGATTGTGGACCTTGCTTTGTTACTGATTATGTCTTAGTCAATATATTCCTGTACAACGGTGGATATAAGGCCAAGTTTTTCTTGATTACAGAAGAAAACTGGTTTTCTAGGAAAATCGATGTCAGTAACAAATCACTATAATATATCCCATTAGCGATTATAATACATCCCATTAGCTATTAAACAATGAATGCATTTAACATTATAATGAGTACTAATGATATACAAGGTGTCCCAGGCTGAGCGTGCATTAGAAGTTTCTAGAGAACCACAATATTTAGATCGGTGATTTTTTGCATATCATTGTTTTACAACGAGATCTATGGATTAAAAATACTTTCAATATGGCGGCACTTCCGGAAATACCGGAAGATGGCAACAACTTTCTTATTTTAAATGGGTACCCCCATTTTTGATTACATACTTAAATTATCTGTAAAATTCTATGAATGTTGATGTTAAACACTCTATACCTAAATATTAACCGTTTTTTAGAAAACAATATTTAAAATTTTTGGTTGAAAAAAACTACCTGTCAAAAAAATTTGTATAGCCTAAGAGTCAAATTTAGTGATTACCACAGCCACTGTGACATAAAGAGAAGACATGTGGCTATGTATTTTAAAAATTAAATTGTTCAAATGTCATATAATAACGGCGGTAGCTGTCATGGAATTGAGCGATTAAAAAATTATCATAAATCATTTTTTTAAACGGAAACCCACTTTTTTATTTCACTAATAAAAAGGTTTTTCAATTCGTTACTTTTTAACTAAACATGTTTCTATACCTAAAATAAATCGTTTTTAAGTTATTTAAGATTTAATTTGAACACATATATTTTTCTTGATTTTATCTAGCTTCCTTTGACATTAAGTGTCAAACGGTCAGACAATTTATTTCCATCTGTCAGAAAACGAATTATTTGAATTTCCTATATTCTAAATACTGCCTGCTTAAGAGTTTAAAAAGTATATTTATAAAAATATCTCACTCAAAAAAATGCATAATTTGTCACGGTATGATTGACCTTAATTCCTGCCCTAAATATTTTTAGAACAAAAACAAATAACATAAAAAATAACAAAATACATCATGACCTAAGCAGGAAACACGAGGAATATTCAACTAAATAAAAAATAACTCAACTGAACAAACCTAAACCATAATTAGCTTTCCAACACTTTTTTCCAAGTGACCCCTATAATATACTCTGTTTTTTTTCTCAGGTAAGATTTCGACAGACGATGACAGAAGAAAAGCAGATGACGTCCCATACCAATCTATTTATTTTACTAAAAAAAGTTTCTAATAATTTTTAAGTTATCTATGGATGGGTTTAAATATAAATCCGTCATGCGTCGTGTCTTGTTGTTTTTAACCAGTTTTATTGGTTTATTTAAAAAATGACAGATCGTATTTCAATTTTATTGGTTTGAGGGAACGATGAACGACAAACAGACGCCGATGCGTATGAACTCGCCTTTAGATTTTTGTCATTTTTGACGCTTGTCAAAGTCTTGCCAAATTATAGGTTAGAATTTTGTGTCAACTTTTGTTAAATACCCTGCGTTTTGGAAGACGATGCATTTTGATTCGTATTATTACGTGTGTTTTGTGTATTTTGAAGTCAAGTGCAGGAAAAATCGAGTGAAAATTAACTGTAGACCCAGAGCACAGTTTATGGTTTATACTCGCTGCCCAGGCAGAAAGTTTTATACACCAATGAAGTTGCCATCGATAAAGTTTGTATACCATTTCGTCGTAGATAAGTGCATCTCGTATATGGTAGAAGGATCAAACTAAACACATACTAAAAACTGGAGTAGCTGTAAAATATCGACATCACACGATAGGTAAATAATGGATTTTAGTACTGCAGAAAAATAATGTCAAAAGGTACTGGTTTAAAAAAATTAAGTTTAAAGTTAATTAATCAACCTTTAAGGTATAAAATTTGGTAGGTGTTATTATTAATAAAATAGTTTGTTTCATTTACCTATGTTGTTTTATTTATTCCTGTGGAATATTACAAATTTGTATTTGTACATAAGTTATATTGATAAATATAATCATAAATTCGGGTAGTTTCATAAAGCTTGAAAGTAAATAATAGTTCTTTTTCATATTTTTTGGTATGTAGTGTCTTGTTCTTGTTTGTTTTGTATTAACACATACCGTTTTTATTAAATAACATAACTCGATTACATTTTTTCAGTTTTATACAGTTTTTTTCACAATATTTTGAAGTAATCACTTGTCATCTTGTCAATCAAATTTTAAATATATCCTGCTATGCGTTCCAGTTGTACCAACTTATTTCTTTGTAAAATAAAATAAACTACTTTGAAATTAAAATGACAGACACATCTATCACTGTCAAGGATCTTCTCGTTGGACAGACTATAGATCTTATTTGACTGGCCTATACAGGGTGGCACACCTCATTCGCCTCGGTTGATTATACGAAAACGGAAATATGTAGAAACAAAATATTTTATGGGTATATGTGGGGAGTCAATGTACATAATTTAAAATTATTTTGAAATGTACAGGGTGTGTCAGAACTAAGATCTATATCAAAGTTATATTTTTTCTTATGGAACACCCGGTATTTTATTTCATTTTTGGATTCTCGGGTCCAAAAAAAGACATTTATTATAAGGGTTAAATATGTTTAAAATCATTGGTTTTTGAGATATTTAAAGATATTTAAATATGCATGCTACAAGAGAATTGATTATCATTACTCTGTACATTACTTTTCAGAATTAATTCTTGTACTAAGTTTAAAGGCAAAGAATAAACTTTACTGAAAAATGTTATGGCTTCTTTAAATTTATACAGAGGTGCCAAAAATTAGTGATCTATTTTAAGGATTTATTTTACATAAAAACCTTGTTATTTCAAATGCAACACCTTGTATTTTTGCAAATAAATCGAAGCAGATTCAAATGCTCTTTCAAACTATATTAGCGTTCCCTATACCTATCTAGCTCAGATTTTGAATAAAAAGCGATTTTTAAATAAAATGGTAATTAAGATTGCTGGTATTAAAGGTAATTAAGATGGCTGGTATCGCCATGGCATTTTCTAGTGACAGTTAGTAACTATTTTCAAAATCGACATTAGTTTATAGACTTTATTTAAATCTATACAAGTTTACTTTTATTTAATTGACGTACTGACGTTTAATAAATAATATTTATTATGTATTCCTTATTCTATCAAGGAAAAAGAAGAAGTAGTTCTTTGTTTTATTTTACGATAACTTGTAGATATATGATAGATATTTTTTATAAAAGAGCCAATTACGGCAAATTCAATTTCTTCACTTCCAGCGACAGGTTTCTGCCTAATAGGTTTTTATAAACGACACTACCAATTCTGCGAAATAGGAAATAGGACAAGTAGTTTTTTAAAGGAATGTTTGGATATCTTTGAGCATTAGGTCTTGAGGCCAAGAAATCATTTTGCCCACAAAATAAAATCACTAGTAACATATCCATTCGTTCCACCAGCAGATATGGCTTTATTTTTCTTCATAAAATAAACAATACTTACTTATTACATTATTGTGGGCAAATTTTAGTAAACCGTTTATATATAATAATGTCCATACACTAATATCCATTTTGAAAATTTATCATTAACTGTCACTAGAAAATTGCCATGGCGATACCAGCCATCTTGATTGCCATTTTATTTAAAAATCGCTTTTTATTCAAAATCTGAGATAGATAGGTACCTATAGGAAACCCTAATATAGTTTGAAAGAGCATTTGAATCTGCTTCGATTTATTTAAAAAAATACAGGGTATTGCATTTGAAAAAACAAAGTTTTTATGTAGAATAAGTCCTTAAAATAGATCACTAGTTTATGGTGCCCCTGTATAAATTTAAAAAAACAATAACATTTTTCAGTAAAGTTTATTTCTTTACCTTAAACTCAATACAACAATTAATTCTGAAAAGTAATCTACAGGGTGTTGATAATCAATTCTTTTGTAGCATGCATATTTAAATATCTTTAAATATCTCAAAAACCAATGATTTTAAACATATTTAACCTTTATAATAAATGCCTTCTTTTGGACTCAAGAATCCAAAAATGAAATAAAATACCGGGTGTTCCATAAGAAAAAATATAACTTTGGTATGGATTTTAGTTCTGAGACATCCTGTATATTTCAAAATAATTTTAAATTGTGCACATTGCCTCCCCACATATACCCACAAAATATTTTGTTTCTACAACTTTTCGTTTTCGTATAATCAACCGCGGCGAATGAGGTGCGCCACCCTGTATATGCACCCATAAAATAATTCAGTTGCTACGTGCTACAATATCTATATTAAGTTCTGTATTTGGTCCTTTAATTTGAACTCTTGTGAAAAAAATCGGAGTTTTAATAAATGGCTGATGATAATACATGGTTAGCGAAATGAACGTTCAGAACTTAAAATAAAATATTTCGATATTTCTTCATAATAAACTAAAATAAAGAAGGCATATACCTGAAACAGTTCTTCTAAGAGCCCATTTAAACAAAATCTGGCACCATATTTCAGGTAGCAATAACAAAACATAATTTTTTAAATAGGAGAATACCTAAAGGCTATATCAGGCTATAACAGTTTCTGAATATACAGGGTGTTTCAAAAAACATGTGCCATCTCTCATGGAGACATTCCTCACATAAAAATAAGTTTTATTTTTCATATGAACATGGGTGCGATTCTGCTTAGTTTCGTAGATACAGGAGGTTAAAGTCTTTATTTTTTTTTCGATGTTTTTTTATTACTAAATTTTATAACACTGACTAAATTTTATAACATGCTACCGACAGTAAATTCCCTAAAAAGGAATGGTATTTAAGATAATTACAAAAGGCCTATTTTTAAGTTTTAACATCCTGTAACTATAAAAATATGCATTTCCGCAGCCATCTTTATAGGAACTTCTTTTATATTTTTTGATAAGGAATCAATGCGTACTTATTTAAAATTTTGACAAGTTAGTGACATTAAATTTTTTAAAGGTTGCTATTAGAATTGGATTAAAGAAACTAATTAAATTGCGTTTATCTCATCAAGAAGACCGAAATCGACGAAATATTAAGAGAAAATGTTTAATCAGCATTTCTACACAATTTTGCTAATAAAACAAAAAAAAGGCAGTGGCGTACAAATTTTTTTAAAAAAATATTGCAATGATAACCCATATGCACGTCCCTGGTGAAAATTTCCACACATCTTTAGCATTAAAATATGTAGCACTCGTAGTAACTTTTACCCTCAAAATTTCATTCGAATCGCTAAAGGCACTTGGAAGAAAATTATAATAAAATGAAAAAAAATGAAACTTTAACCTTTAACGCCCTTTAATCGGACCTACATTAATATGGAAAATGAATCTTATTTTTATGAGGGGAATCTCCACACGAGAGATGGCACATGTATTTTGAAATACCCTGTAGAATTAGATACGACCGCGAACTTGCAAAGAAAAAAAAGTGTTGTAAGTTAATCTGTGATAGGACTCAGCGTATTGTTGGTTGCATAATCAGTGTCCTCTCATTAATCGCTTCTATTAATCCTATTTAAAAATTCTAGGAAGAATCTATATCAATAGATGGAAGTAACGGTATACTTTGGGTTTATCCAGCATATTTTGAAATTCTGAATGGCGAAACCACCGAAATGAATGTTATTTTTCAGCCTATGAAGTGTGGATTGTTCAGTGAAACACTCTACTTGCTGACTGATAAGAATACTTACCAACAATTGGAAATAATTGGTGATGGAATAGCTTTCAACAAAAAACTTATAAGTGTAGATGTACAGTGTTATATGGAATTAAAATATGCTAAATCAATTTTCAATCTAACGTGTAAAAGTTATAGGTACCAAATCATTCAAAAGATATAGAAAGTAAACCAGGACATCGTATATTTTTGGGATATATTGAAAATACTGATCCAATAACTATGACGTTACGTTTAAAAAACAATAGGTATTTAATTTTGATATTTATATTTCATCATTCAAGTAAACAAATTTTTGAAGGTATATATTATAATAATAATTACATAATATAATGTTCGCACAAAGAAAATTTTACTAGGCTATCATATTCTCTGATTTAATGCAAATCACATGTAAATAATCAACACACTGAGGTCGAGAGCATTTATGTCAGCTTTTATGACAGCTTCTAATTCTTAAGCTGGAAAATTTAGTAACAAAAAAGGAGACAGTAATATACTGGGCGACTCAGCTACCCTTCCTAAGGAAACAAAATATGTATACAAAGCAAGAAGTTTAAAATTTCAAGACAACATATAGACGGAGAGCTGGCTACATAAAAAACCTTATCATCGTTACATGGCTAATTTTTCTTGTGAAGTATCATTTTGTGTTGCCATTATGAAAGTTTAAAAATTAGCTTTTATTTATTATTAAGAATCGTGTAAAACTGTTGACAAACATTTTTCTCGTGGCTAAAATGCCGGCAGACAACGCGAAGTAGGCATGGAATTTGACAAAAAAAATCATCGCATACATGCATGTCGATTGGTGGAATATATATTTTTTTATTTAAAAAGTCGTATGAAAGAGACAGACAAAAAAATCGTGGCTCAATCAGCGGTAGACAGTTATATAAAAATATTATTCTATAGGGTGAATCTTGAATAAGTGTAAATATTTTCAGAGCTGATAGATCTCGATAAAAGAAGCATATTTTCTTTATATCGTTTTCCAAATAAGTCCAAAATAAGTTATTTAAGTTTGAAAATTTAAACAGAAATTGATTTATTTTTAAATAATCTTGTGGGCCATCTGTTTTTTTTTCTGTACTTGCATCCATTCTTTTAGTGTCGTAGCCATAGAGTAAAGCCGTAAGCATGGTAGGTTAAGAAATAATTATAAAAAATGAAAAATAATGCACGATTTTCTACATAATTTTTTGCGAAATAAAAACACATTGACATGTTCCTGGGGTTGAAATATATCACCCTTAAAAGTATTTTTACTTATTTAAGACTCCCCTGTATAAGCGTTTTCAGAAAACGCTGGCCGCGTTATCAATTGAAACATAATACCTGTAAGTCTACAAAAATTTTACGGTGCAGATATCGACTCAGAGGAAGACTCATTTGTGAGAGCGGGGATCTGCAGTACGATGAGTCAGATACAAATAGTGAGACAGAATAATAAATGTATGATATCTGTTTTGAAATAATAAAAAAAAATATATATAATATAATGGTATACATGATTTATCTATACTTAAATGGATGAGGCGGCGAGCGTTCCCTGAAAGCGCTAGAGAGTAATATCGCGCTTTTGATAACTGTCTGCAGCTGATTTAGCCACGATCTTTTTGTCTGCTCTTTTGCATACGGCTTTTAAAATAAATAAATATGTCATTCCACCAATCGGCATGCATGTATGCCATAATTTTTTTCATTCTTCAAATTTCATTTTTTAATCATTTTTAAATTTTCATGCCACTTTCGCGTTGTCTGTCGGCATTTTAGCGACTAGAAAAATGTCTGCCAACAATTTTCCACGTTTCTTAATAATAAATAAAAACTATTTTCGCAATTATAACTCGTGTACCTTATAATAATTTTAGTATCAAAATTTCACCCTTTCGATTGGCCGCCCCCGCTTTAAGCCCCGGGTTTGCGCTGGTAGACATGACTAGATAGACTGAGTAGATAGAACTATACACGACAGATACCTACAAGTAGAAACAAAAAAATACAATTTAGAAAGTTTTCTGCAAGAGTCGACACGATTCCTGTACAAACTAAGACTAGCCAATAAACTAGCATATATAAGAAGGGACAACGTAAACGCTGAAACGTTGTATGAACAAACAAAACAATGCATTCACGAAGCAGCTGAAGAAGCGTTAGGACAACAAGATAAGCAAACGATGGAAAAACCAGAATGGTGGTCTGAAAACTTAAAAAAACTTATAGAAGAAAAAAAAGCGATCCTACCAGAAATGGCTTAGTACCCACAGCGACCACGACAGAGAAGAATATGCAAGATTAAATAGAATGGTTAAACGCGAAGTATCTAAAAGCCAAAACAAAATGTGGGAAACCAAATGTGAGAGAGCGGAAAGATATGTTGGAGGTTCAAGAGTGTCAGAAGCGTGGAAGACAATAAGGAACCTTAGAAGAGACAAAAAGCAAAACAGTAAACTAGAACTTATAAGCATGGAAGAGTGGGAAGACCATTACAAACAGTTACTGACAGAAAACAGGACAGAATTCAAACTAGAAGTGCCAGATTTAAAAAACGCAAAAGATATAGATGTAAATGAAATAAGTGTAAACGAGATAAGGAAAGCATTGAAGAACTCAAAAAATGGAAAAGCTGCGGGGCCGGGAAACATTTTCATTGAGCTAATAAAGCAGGGACCCGATATATTATTGGAAATACTAGCTGATATTTTCAACAGATGCCTGATAAAAAACGAAAACATTCCTGAAGACTGGAACCTGGCGTACATCAGCTCTATCTTTAAGAAAGGAGACAAACAAAGATGTAGCAACTACAGAGGCATTAGTATGACAAGCTCAATGGGAAGGTTGTATGGCAGGATATTAAAAAAGAGAGTAGAAGAGAGCTTTGAAGAAATAGAAGAACAAGGTGGTTTCCGCGCTGGGCGTTCTTGTACAGACAACATATTTGTGTTACAACAAATAATTGAAAAAAGGAGAGCTCGAAATTTGGACACGCATCTGGTATTTATAGATTTAGAGATAGCCCATGACACGGTGCCTTTGAAGAAATTATTTGAAATCTTGGTTGAAGCAAATGTGAGTAAAACATATATCAATGCAATCTGGAATATGTACAAAAATCCAAAAAGTATGATTAGACAGGGGAAGTTCCTATCGGAATCCTTCCTGACATCTAAAGGACTTAGACAGGGGTGCAGTTTATCACCTACCTTATTTGAAATATATATCCAGGAGGCATTGAAAAACTGGAGAAGGAAGAATAGAGCTATGGGAATAGAGATTGACAACCACTGTCTATCGACCTTGTTCTTTGCAGACGACCAAGTTATTGTTGCAGGTTGTGAGGGGGATGTCGACTATATGTTCAGGAAACTTGAGGAAGAATACGACAGATGGGGCCTCAATATCAACCTCACAAAAACCGAATACCTGAAAGTAGGAGACACATACATGAAATTAAAAGGTGTAGCGAATATAAATATTTAGGAAGTATTATATCTGAAGAAGGGAACTCCAAGAAAGATATACATAGTAGAGTTCAACAAGGTAAGAAAGTAATCGGTCTTTTAAACCCTCTCCTGTGGTCAAATAAAACATCCATCCAAACAAAGATAAGGATTTACAAAGCAATCGTAGAGCCAATTTTAACATACGGTGCCGAATGCTGCCAATTTACAGCAAAAGAAAGAAGGATGGTCGAGTCATTGGAGATGGACTTTCTCAGAAGAGCATGTCGCATATCAAGGATGGCACACATTAGAAATGAGGAGATCAGGCAAAGAACAAGGCGAATATATACCAGCACCGACAACATCGAATCGAGACAGCTACTATGGTATGGGCACGTAAAAAGAATGGGAGGGGAAAGATGGCCAAAAAGGGCAATGGAGTATCGTCCCCAAAGCAGAAGGAAAAGAGGAAGACCTACAACTACGTGGTTAGATGGAGTAGACCAGTATATGAGAGACAGAGCTATTAACCAGGAAGAATGGCAAAATCGCATAATGGCAATATGGAGGTCGAAATGCGGGATGTGGCAGAAGCTGTAGGACCCCCGCTTTATATATATATAGACATGACTATTTCGTAATGGCTACACAAAAGGATACTTCACACAAAAAATTAGCCATGTAACGATGATAAGGCTTTTTATGTAGCCAGCTCTTAGACTATTACAGGATGTCCCAGGCTGGGCGTGCATTAGCAGTTTCTAGAGACATGCAATATTTAGATCGGAGATTTTTTGCACATCATTGTTTCACAACGAGATCTGTATGTTAAAAATATTTTCAATATGGCAGCACCAAACAACAACCTTCTTATTTTAAATTGGTACCCCCATTTTTCACTACATACTTAAATTCTCTGTAACATTTTATGAATTTTGATATAAAACACTCTATATCTAACATCAACCGTTATTGAGAAAAAAATGTTTAAAATTTTTGTGTGTATAGCCCAAACATAAAATTTAGTGACGCCGTTTTTTTTTCGATCATATGATAATATACATTATTAATTTATTTCTAGCGGGCTGCTTTTGAAATACAAATTTAAATGCGTGGAAAAAAATGACGACATCGCTTTTGACATGTCTAACTGGATACAAACAAATTATGAGAATCAGGTTTTGGCACCTTACGGCACTAGTGAAGTTATTTTTCAGATAACTCCTTTAAAATGTTGCACAGGCGATTATTGCAATACTTCATTGAGGTGATAAAAATATTCTAAACGATTATCTCTAATTTACAAATTTTAATGTGACAGGTTGTTTATTAAAGACGTACCCATTACTAGCTTAGAGGAAAATGAAGAATTTGTCATCGAAACTCAAAATAGGTCGCTGCGGGAATTAGTTGAACACGTATTGGTAAAGTAAATATAATTTGCATTTTTATTTGCTTTTTTTTATTATTTTCGTTATACTTATAATAGAGCTGGAATATTTTGAAGCCTATAACGAAAAAGTACGTTTGCGAAAGAAGACACGTTGTAGACGAAGACACGACTTGTAGATCGGTTGAAATGTACGACCAAGCCTATAACATACTCAAAAGAATAAGTTAGAGCTAAAGCAATAAGCTTAGCTGGAATTTCTTATCTAGTTACTTGTGTTCAAAGTGCTACCCTGTATACAATAAATTTAATGTTAAAAAAAATCCCCAGCTAATTGGAGCAGGTTGATCATCTTGATATATTTGGTCAGCTCTACCCCAAATATGACCCGCCGGGTATGCTGCCCTTAATGTGTGTTCATGTAGAGCAGCTCGAGTTGGTGGTATAGCCGTAAGTGGTCTATTTTCAGTTGCAAACAAGTGTTTCCTGGCCATAGTTATGTTATTAGTAGACTGAACATTATATAGGCGTACCACATATTTTTCAAGTTTTTGAAGCACATTATTTTCTAACTTTTCGCGGGGGAAATATATTGCATGGAATGTAGTTGTATCTTCTGTCAAAGTTTTCCAAGCCGACCGTTTGCCCTTTGATGACAGAAAAGACACAGTGTCACATCCAGAGAAGGCATGAAAGCCGCGTAGAGCTTCTGATTTTCTGTCACCTAGAACTTCCACAATACAGTGAACAGGAATGTATCGCAAATTTTTTGAAGAGCTATACAGCAACCAGAAGTTTTCTAGGCCTAGGCGTTAAATTAAGGAAAAAAAGATATAGCTAAAACCAAAATGTCAGTGTCAGCACAACAAATTAACACCGGTTTGGCTCCGTTAATGTTAAGTTGATCTTGTTGCTGGAGCAGAATTATTTTCCCCCCTTTGTTGCGAAATAGATGCCTAATAGAGATTGTTCTTGAGACTCACAGCAACACGCTGCCTCATTAGATTTAGATAATGAAGAGAGGAGTATGTCACATTTTGGTGAAACGTATTTTAAGTTGCTTGCTTTGTGCCACACTGCTTTTTTTTCGATTAATGTTTGCTCAATTTCTCCTTCCCCTTTAAGACAATTAATTTGGATTCCAGATGGAAGTACGTGATTGTAATTAGTTAAAAGTAGTAAATTAGAAGCTGAAGTACCATATCCTTTATTTTGAAGCGAAACAACTTTAGTATTTGCAGGACAAACAGTTTTTCCACCACCAATCTGACAGATACAACATTTTTTCCAATCTATTAAGCTATCTAGGAGATGCGGTACTGCCACCGTTATTTTATTTTTATATTTTTCCATTTTTTTCATGCTACAAAGAAGGAAATATATTAAAAAACAAAAAAATAAAACCGAAGCCATGCAATTAGTGTAGGTACCTATTGTAATAAAAAAATCTACTCACCAGCAAACGGTTTAATGATAAATATTTTGTTCGTTGCTCAACATAAATTATTATAATATATTAATTTATATTGCTTCTTTTGTTTATTCCACTATACACAGTCAGTGGCGTCATTTAAAGCAGGTTAAAACTTATTAAAAGTATAAAAATTGCGATATTGCGTTTATTTCTAGGGTAGGGATGCTAAATATATCAGTTTAACTTGGTTTATTGATAATAATAATATAAATCACAATAATTAATAATTGAGTTATTAGTTTTTAGGTAAATTTTATAAAAATATGTCACCCAATATTATAGGCATTCAATTTTTGAATATTTTTAACCCTTTTTTGTAAAAAAGGGATAAAACCATCATCATAAGGGTTGAAAGTTGGGGTGCTGCGGCTCAAATCATTTAAAATGATCTAAATATTAACTCTGGCGAGTTTCATGCTTTTAACTCAATTTGCTACGTTTTAACCCTCTTTCGGTTCGACGAAATAAACGTGCGGTTGTTAGCCGACTACTTCATTGGCCAGAATCTGGAAACCAGGTGAGGGGCGCTTTCGCCAGTACAGAAAATGAAAGTGTTTTTACGGTACATGGCAGATCCGGGTTTCCAGAGCGGTATAGGTGAGGAACTGGGATGTACACAGCCTACAGTCTCCAGGATTGTCGATACCACTCTCCGTCTCATTGTGGACAAGGCGGCTGCCTGGATCAAGTTCCCGTCGACCGAAAATGAAGTTATCGAAGCCAAAGTGAAATGGTCAGCGAAAAAAAATTTCCGACTGCAATAGGAGTTATCGACTGCAGGCATGTTAAAATTGAAAAGCCGCGTCTATTTGGGGATGAATATGGAAACCGGAAGAATTATGCTATTATTAATGTTCAAGGCATATAGGAATATGTGATAAAAATTACCTTTTCATGGATTCATTTCATTTCAAATTATGCGGTGGACGACTAATACGGTGTTGTTGGGAGACAGTGGCTATGGTATAATGTCCTATCTGATGAAACCCTTCCCCATTGTAGAAGACGCAGCGCAGGCTGCTTTCAATCGATTATTAAAGAAAGAAAGAGTTGTCAAAGAACATGCTTTTGGACAGTTGAAACGGAGCCGGCGCCGGCGCAGCGCGGCGGTGTCTTGTAACTCTACTTGGTAGTCTGACAGTTCCTCGTCACTTGCCATCTTAACACAGCTCAATCAAATATATAAATACCACTCAATACCACTACAAGCTCCAAGTACAACTTTGAAGTACCAGCAAACACACTATACCTAACAACAATTAATTTGCTCATTTACCTCTGTAACTGCAAGTTGCAACATGTTTGGTGGCAACATACTCGTAAATTGCGCTCGTCTACATTTTCCTTTTTTCTGCGAGGATTTGTTTGCAAAAAAAAGGAAAAGATTATTAATATGAAATTAAGCAAAACCTTTTCCTTCTACCTTTACCTTTGAAGCAAATACTTCATTTTTATAAATACGGCCTACTGATACTATTGCTGTTTTCAGAAAGTTGATGTTTTGTGTATGGATGTTGAAGTTGCATGCTTTATTAAAGAAGATAAACCGATTGAAGATCCAACCAAAGATAATCTGTATGTACAAAAACAATTACTTTGTCAGAATTTCTTACTTATTTTCCTTTGTTTAATTAAGGTGTGTACATTGTAATCTGACAGCCTCGATGTGTCCTTGTTGTACCGAAGTTGTCCCTGATTCCGACATTGTTTTCTCCGACCTTTTGCTGGACTTCAGTGTTTTACCTGTAGGAGTGGACGTTAAAAAAGATTTTTATATAATGAATTTGGGTGAAAAACAACTAAACTGGAGAATAATTGAGATACAATACAATATCGACAAACAACCGTATTTCAAAATAATTAAAAGAAATCATATTTCAGAATATAGTGGCATGTTGTTACCAAAAAAGAAAAAAGTTTTATCCTATAGCATAATTAAAAGACAACCTTTACGCTGGTTTTCGATACTAGTTCTTTTCTCCTTTGATGGTACTGATAATGCCGAAGAATTAAGAGACACAATGACAGCGGAGTGTATGTGTATCGTAACCTATGAGGTGGTCAAAATGAATATAACAGTAAACAGTCCTCAATCTCAAGAACCAATACTTTGTCCCCTACAAATGCTTTACACGGGTGTTCCAGTAGATGTCGATTTTGAATTGCAAAATAACAGCTTGGTCACGGGATGCTTTTACTTTTTGAAACCAATTGGCAGCGACTCGGAAAAAATTGTTGTGAAATATGAACCCCAACGAGGTAATATTTAATTAGGAATGTGGTAAGTTGTATGTACAGGGTGAATCAAACTGGGCATCTTGGTGTAGTACCTGGAAAATAGAAAGATGTGTATTTTATAGATGTTAGGAATGTATTGCTACCGTTTCTGTAATTATTTGTAAATTACATGCAGGGTCGGCAATAATATTAATATGCATTGGGAAACTGTACTGTCTAGAATAAAAACCTTAGGAATTTTGTTTAAGTGCAAACCTAAAGTATGTACTAGGTTATATTTCAGGAAAATATTTTAACTTCTACAGGATAGCTCAAAAAGTGTGAGTAGATCGGGATGATTTTTTTTAAATGAAACACCTTGTATATTATTGCATTTTTCGCTTCTTTTCAGATCACTTTACATAATTCTAAAATATGAGTAAATCTATTTCGATAGTTTCAAAGATATTAATAAGTAAATAAAAATATATATTTTTCAGCCTTTCTTAAAAAATTGTTACAAAGACAAAAACTGTCCTAAAATCAAAACTATATTAGGTGTTTTCTTTAGATGATCTATACTTACTTTGCTATAGATATTGCAATCTTAAATCATACAGGGTGTTCAGAATTCTACGCCAAACTTTCTAAAATATTAAATAATTTTTCTTCGTTTTTTTTAATAGTACATCTTGTATATTATTTTATTATTAGATGGAAAATTAAAAAATGAACATTTTTTGTATTTAGAGTATTTCAAAATTTTTAACGGTTTCGGTTTGATTTGGATAAAATTTACTGTGGAAAATGCCATATGAAATATAAAATAGCGAAATCTACAAAACCGTTAAAATTTTTGAAATACTGTAAATACAAAAAAAAATTAATCTCCATCTGTTAAAAATACATATAGTTCCATGTAAAAAAAAGAAGAATAAATACTATATTTTAGGAAGCTTTTCCGTAGAATTTTGGACATCCTGTATGATTTAAATTTACGATATTTACAGCAAAGTTAAGTACCAGACCATTTAAAGTAAATATCTAATATAGTTTTCATTATAAGACACTTTTATTTATTAACATCTCTTGAAACTATCAAAATACATTTACTCATATCTAAAGATTATGTAAAGCGATCTAAAAGGAAGTCAAAAATGCAATAATATATAGGGTATTCTTTTAAAAAAAATCATCCCGATCCACTCACACTTTTTGGAGCCGCCCTGTAGAAGTTAGAATATATTCCTGAACATACTTTAACATCCTAGTACATACTTTAGGTTTGCATTTAAACAAAATTTCAAAGTTTTTATTCTAGGATCTACAGATGCCCGACGCACTATTGCGGACCCTGTATAGAGTAAACGTACAAAGCGAACAAGTAAACGTAGTAAATAAATATTTCGTATACCGAGTGACAACGAAATCTTTGCACAAACTGCCATTGGGTTGATTTTTATCAAATAAGTTTAAATTTTTGACGGTTTATTTAAACGCTTGGTAGGCATTGACAAAGTATGACAAAATCTCAGCCAATCCAGAACAAAACCAATCGAGCTTAACAATAAATTACTAAGACTAGAACAATACAAACAGAGTGTTCAACAAAACATGTGTTTTGATAAAAGATTTTTTTTAAATACAAGATTCAAATGTAATTTGTAAAAAGTAATTTATTGTCAGTTCGTATAGAAACTTTTAAATTTTTAATTGTATCACTTCATTAAGAAACTGTCGCTAGGTTTAGTTGTTAATTTTAGGTTTATTTTATTCTATAATATATACATACATAAGGTAAAAGTACTTTAGTTTTTTTTGAAAAAAAAAATACAAAATGTGAATCAGGGATTCATCGGTTATGTTTTCATATTTTTAATATTTTGTCTTATATTACGGTATTGTAGATCATACCAAATAAAGTTTTAATCACGTGATTAAGCTAGACAGCGGTGCTTACTTTTATATATTTTCTTTTAATCAAACCAAATCAAAATATTTTAGGAAACAGAAATGAATTAATTATAAATATATAAACAGTTACTATTTACATCAACAAAACTCAATTAACAGCACTTAGGTTTGTTTTATTCTATGATATCAAGGTACCGTATGATCGAAAAAAAACGGCGTCCAGTTGGCTGGGAAATGACGATCGATGACATTTCCCATATAAATTTACATATAAAATGACAGCGATCTTCATTTCATAGCCATCGCTGACGCCGTTTTTTCTCGATCATACGGTATAATACATACCTATATAAGGTAAAAGTATATTACTTTTTTATTGAAGAAATAAAAAATGTGAATGATACATTTATCGGTTATGTTTTCATATTTCTAATATTTTGTCTTATATTACAGTACTATAGATCATACCCAATAAACTTTTAGTGATTAAGCTAGACCGGTACAGTGTTGCCTATTTTTACATATTTTCTTTTAATCAAAATATTTTAGGAAACAGAAATGAATTAATTATAAATATATAAACAGTTAATATTTACATTAACAAAACTCACCTCCCTAACAGCACTTATGGGACATATTTTATAGCTTTTTTGCCCTGAATATTTTGTCGAACCATTTTTGCGCTGATTAATATTCGATTCACTTTTGCCCAAAGTTGTGATGTATATGCTATTTTTGATCTTAGAGAAAATTTAAACCCACTTTTGCTTTGAACAAAATTTTATCCCACTCTTACTTTCGACCTCTCATGTAAACTTATATGGAGAATATATTCTATGTTCATTTCCAAGCCCACTGGACGCCGTTTTCTTTCGATTATACGGTGCCTTTAAATTTATATGTAAACAAATTATTATTCCTTAGGCCCCTATTACACTATTAAATTTTTGTCTGAGATTACACTATTAAATTTCTGTCAATGATCTTTTATAAAGTATATGTATATTTGATGAAAAATTTGACAGTGTATAATAACAATATTTTATAAAATTACACATATTTCACTATCAAATTCTTCGACAAAATAAAATCTTTGACAAAAAAATTTGATAGTATTAAAGTAGCCTTATATGGTTCTATCAAGGTTCTATCGAATAAAATCTTATTATACCGTATGATCTGGAAGATTTATTATCCAGCGGTCTTAGATATTAAAAAATGTAATTTCTCATGCGGCTTCTTATTTTGTCATTGTCTAAAGCATGATTGATGAAAATTAACTATTTACAGGTACTTTAAGACCTGGCAAGTCGAAAAAAATTACCATAAAATTAACTTGCACTGATATTGGCATTTTGGAAAATATATACCTCCCTTATTACATTGGACAAGGTCACGAACATATGTTTGTAAGACTACTATGTGTGGTCGATTGTATTCGTGTCTTTTTTTATTTACCTAATAAAGAAAATACAGAATTTAGAAAAATCTTGTGGTCGCCTAGAGTGTTGTACGAATATGACAGAACATGGAGTCAATACTGTATGTGCGAAAATGTTAGTAGAATATCGAAACCGTACGTTTTATAAACTTTATTTAGTTCAATATTATTTTATAGGTAACTTACGAGGATGCAATTAAAAGTGTGCAACTAAAAAATGAAGAGGAAAAAATTAAGAAGAGCAATGAAACATTACAGGATTTAAATGTTTCACGATTAGCGAGTCGAGAAAAAACGGACGGTGCAGAATCCTCTATGGATGTAAAAACTCCGCTAAAAACACTTGTCGAGGTTGACTCAGAAATATTTTTACAAGAATACACAATGGAAGTCGTAGAAGTACAAATAAAAACTCGTATATATTGTTTACATAAAGTACTTACATTAGTTAAGAACAATCAATATTTTAGCAACAAAAGTAACTTTCTATATCGAGAATGTAACTCCAGTAAAAGCAAAATACGTCGTACAATCTACTACTTATAATGTTCCAGTAACTGCTCTCCAGAATGTATTGAAAAATATTTATAAAACAACAGGTACAGATAAAAATGGACCGTTTGATACATAATATAGTTTTAACTTTAACTATGGTTTGGTTTGGTTTTAATTACTGCAACTTTTTCTATGATAATATGATAATTATTTATTACTAGTTGAAGCCTGGCGCATCCGCCATATCAGGAAAAAAATACTTTTTATTTTTTTTAATTAAATGAAAAACAAAAAATCCGGCGACGACAGTTTTTAGAAGAGCCAATTAGCTATCTTTTATTAAAAAAAGCAGCTTTCTAGAGCAAGTCGTTACTTCAGTAGAGACGACACAGATAAACATTAGCATTTTATAAACAGGGTGTCCCACTTAAGATGGATACAAGCCAATATCTTGTTTGTTTGTTGAGCGATCTTTTTCATTTTTGGCAGGAGGCTGTATGGCTATAAGACGTACATTCTGCCCAAGGTAAGAAATGCGATACCTCATAGACGTACGTTTTAATGGGGTTTGATATTTTTCGAATCAAGAGTAAACTACCCTTAGGACAGTATTTATTTCCCAATCTGATAAATTATATTGAATTCTCCTTACCCTAGATACCTAAGTTCCAATTTTGATAAATATTGATACAGGGTGTGTTATTAAAATAAGACATTTTTTTATTATTTTTTTTAAGTACTTACGACGCCACTGGATAAACAACTGGTTTAATATCAATAACCAATTATAACCAATTATCAATTAATAATCGATTTAAGTTTTCAGATAGCTTCCATAATAATTAAGAGACGATACAAAAAAACTAAATATTTTTAATTTATTTTGTTTACTTTAAAAAATTGTTTTTTAAGTTTGCTAATACAAATGAATAAAACGAGTTACAAAATAATTTAAAAACCCAGTTTTCAATGGGATCTGAAATATGATTTTTATTCGTTTTATTGAGGAATATTTTAAATAATCCAAAAAATAGTTATTTAAAACAATCACTATTAACTTTGAAAAATATGCTCTAAACAAAGATTTATAAAACTATAACGAACTAAAAGTCAACCATCTTCAACCAAACTTAAATCGATTATTAATTGATGATTGGATATAATTGGTTATTGATAATAAACCAGTTGTTTATCCCGTGGCGTCGTAAGTACTTAAAAAAATAATAATAAAAATAAAAATGTCTTATTTTAATGACACACCCTGTATCAATATTTATAAAAATTAGAACTTAAGTATCTTAGGTAAGGAGGATTCAATATAATTTATCAGATTTTAAATAAATACTGTCCTAAGGGTAGTTTACTCTTGACTCGAAAAATATCAAACCCCATCAAAACGTACGTGTATGAGGTATCGCATTTCTTACCCTGGGCAAAATGTACGTCTTATAGCCATACAGCCTGCCAAAAATGAAAAAGATCGCTCAACAAACAACCAAGATATTGGCTGGTATCCATCTTAAGTGGGACACCTTGTACAGGGTGGACCATTTTGGTTGTTTCTATAGGGTATCTAGGAAACGGTAAGAAATATTCAAATTTTGATAACGCAGTCTCGGGTTCTTTTTTTGAAAAAATCACAATGGCGCAAACCCGCACCCCGCCGCTCCGCACCCCGCCGGCGCCTCTAACAGCATTTCGAATGTGTATGTTGGTTACACTTTGCAAAGCCACAAAAAAACTATCTTGTAACTCTTCTAATGTTCTATCTGCATTTCGATAAATTTCGTTTTTCTGAAAGCCCCAGAGAAAAAAGTACAAGGGAGTGATATCAGGTGATCTAGACGGCTAGGATTAAACTATTTTTTAATCTTTTAAAAATGGCTGGGGTTGGTTGCTCGAGCTTAGGATAAATCAGCTGCCATTTGCTTATGTTTGTTAGACTCAATATAACATTCTAACATATTATATTTCTCAAAATTTTCAAATTTACTTATTTTTACTAATTTTAATACACACACTTAAATCTGTTGAAATGAAATGTCACGCATCCATCAAAGGTATCTTCCGATCACCATGACAACTGTTTACTTTGTTACTTGGCGCGGCCTACTACTAACTGGATATTTTAAGAAAAATATGAAATGTTGAGGTTAATAGTGAAAATAAATATAGAGTATTATATATTTTCGAAAAGCCCATGCCAAGCTGAATCAGGAAATTTAAAAATATACAGGGGGTTCTATTTAAAAAAACATAAGTATAGTTAAAATTTGAGACATAATTGAGACATAGTACAAAATTTGAGAATCCCCCTGTAGCTTCGAAACCGATCAAGATAGTCACGATCCGTTTGCGCCATTGTTATTTTTTCAAAGACTTGCAGTATCAAAATTTGTATATTTGTTACGGTTTCCTAGATACCCTATAGAAGCAACCAAAATGATCCACCCTGTACATATGCAGATTATATTTTTTTAATTTTCAGAAGAATTATGGACCCCATTGTTAGAAAAAAATTGTATAGTTGTACAACCGGCTGCTGAAAATGGAATTCTTGAAGCTCATGAATTGATTGCGATAGATATATGGATATATTCTAATACATGGGGAATATACACTGATGAAATTATCGTAGATATTTCAGATTTATCATTATTTAGTTTTTCCCTTGTAATTGAAGTTGTTGGTTGTCCACTACAAGTACCATTTGGCATTGGATCCATCAACAAGTATCCTATCGTAAGGTAATAGACTAATAAAGGTGATTTTTCTGAGACTAGATCTACTAGGTAGTGCAATTAATTTAAAAATATATGCAGTTTTTTTTAAATTAGTTAAAATCGGCTTGCCCAAAATTGTAGACCTTTAAAAAGCCTATTTAGAACTTCGCTGTAAAAATAGGGGGTGCATCATTTGAACACTAGAAAATTTGTATGGAATTTCCTATGTTTGAGCAGACATCATTTAATATAATTTTAGTTTTAGGAATATTTGCCCCGTAGATTTTATTGGTTACGACTTAACACTTTAAAGATGCGTTATTCTTTTAGATTTGGCTCAGTTGCAATGCATTCTGATGACATTATAAGAAACGTGACTATTTCAAACATTTCATCTGTGGATGTAGAGGTATCGTGGCACGTGTTTTTTTGGCCAAATAAGGATATTGATTCGGACCAGCCCGCATTTAATTTCCTTTGTGATGTTAACAAATCAAGTGAAAACATGTTTGATTTTGATTTCACTGAGGAATATTTTGGGATTGAAGGGTGCAAATTTATAGAGGTAAATTTTTTATATAAAAGAGAGTGTCCGCAATCTCCTGAGAGTGTCGCTATTAAAACAAAACCCCTAAAAGTAGACGCAAAATAAAAAAGACACAAAACTTAGTAAATCCATCCTTAGTTATTTCAATTTCTTAGTTAATCTATTCATTAGTTCTCCGCCCGCAGTCTTTTGCAAGATCTTCGGGTTGCTAAATATCATTAATCACAGGAGTTTCATTTCTTTCTCTTCTGCTCGGGAACAATGCTTACAGTCATTAGCGCAAGGTAAAATTCTTGCAATCGTTCGATCCATCTAGCTACCTGGCCTTCAGGATTCTTAAACTGCAACAGCCATTTCAAAGCAGCATGGTCTGTTCTTAACAAGAACTTTCTTCCGCAGAGGTACCTGTAGAAGTGTTCAACTGCTTTGACTACTGCTAGTAATTCTCGTCTGGTAACACAGTAGTTCCTTTCCGGTTTCTTACTAAAATATCCAATTACTTTTTTTTACCTTCCTGGATCTGAGACAGAACAGTGCCTGATCCAACATTACTAGCCTCGGCGTCGCTATCCAATATAAAGTTTCCATTGCCAAGAGGGTAGCTAAGTATAGGCGCATTAATCAGGGCCTTCTTTAAACTTTGGAATGCCTCGTTACAATCTGAATCCCAAGAGAAACGACTCTATCCTTCGGTAAGTCTGGTTAATGGTTTAGCGATGGTGGCGAAGCCCTGAATATATCGGCGATAGTATGTGTGTAGTCCCTAAAGTTATAAACGTAGGAAACCACGACGAAGCCCAACTGATGCTCAGCTAGTTAGAGATACCTTCAAAGACTATTTTTAACGAAGGAAGACTATGTCAAATTGACCAAGGGAAACTTGATTTTGCAAAAGCAAAACTTGCATCGTGTAAACGCCGCTTAAGTATCAATTACTCTATCCTGTAATTGCTTGCCTTATATAAAATTTATTTCTCTAGATTCTTTACCATTTCTTCCATTCAGTCCATTTTTTATTCATCATAGTTATTATTATCCAGTTACAGTTTCTTGCGGTCTAACTTGTCATGCATTGTGGCTATATTGCAACTCTTTAATTTTAAATTTCAACTTAATTGATCATTATAGTGGGAGCTGTTATTTGTCAGGTTCTGAATCAAGCGACACTTTAGGCAAAACGGATAGGTATATAGTTGTAGTGTTTTGTTTTAATGGTAACATTTCCAAAGGATTGAAGAGATAGACACTACGACACTACTGCATTTAATGGGGTGTCATACGAATTTTTTAAATTATAAATAGGTTCTTCCAACTAAAAGTCAGGTCTCTAAAAACAGCAAGGAAACAATAAATATTTTATTTTCGCCAAAAAATGTCGAAACTGAAGAGAAACAACTTATTATCAAAGGATATGTCTTTGGTCGAATATTTGTTAACAAAGGCGATAGGTAATTTTTTTCAGAATATCTAGTGAGAACATTTTTTTACATTTAGTTTTTATTTTAGGTTCAAGTCAAATTATTTTTTTAGACAACGTAACTTTATTATTGTGGAGATTTCAGTTAGGTTATATAGACCTTATTTAGACTTTTCCATAGAAAATGATCATACAAATTTGCATATTTTCGCAAACGATGTAATATTACAGAGGAAATCAGATTTCGAATTCAAATTTAAAGCAAGGAATCCTTTAAGTTGTACTGTAGAAGGGCGACTGGATGTTGGCAAGCCATTTTGTCCCAAAAAGGACGAAGTTGACTTCGCTTTAGCTCCTGGAGAATGCAAAAATGTAAGTCTAATTTTAGATAGTTTATTTTTAATAATAGTATCATATCTATAGTCATAAAGCAATATAAAAGGAAGCCGTGAGATTAAAATCGATTCGATGATTTAGATGAGACGCCCTATTCTACATCGATCTTTAAAAATCTATTGTAGTCTCTTTCTTGCTGTCTCCAGATTTTATTCTCCAGTTTTTCAAAAATTATAACAACATAAAGACTGAACCTGCCATATAGCTCTTTCCTAATGGCTTGTCATTGTCCAACACAAAGAAGTACACATTTGCCAAACTATCATACCGTACTCACATAGAATGTGTAGACTTGCTTCTTTTTTTGATTGATATAATCAGCTTATAGATTCGTCTGTCAGTCCCATCAGTTACTATTGAGTTTAACAATTTATTCTGCCTTTCCTTATTAGGTCGTAAATTTTGATGTATTAAAATACCCTGTGGAATATATTAAGACAGCAAGAAATTTAAAAATAATTTTGTCATCTAGGTAAATCTTTTCTAGAGTTTATTTTTTGGTTTATCTCAACAGCTTTACTTTTGTTGGAGATATTCGCTTTTGAACAAGATACTAGAATGTAGAATGGGAATGGAGTTAATCACCGTGACCTTAAAGATCTATTGTGACCCTCTTCCTTGAGTTGTAACTCATAATACAGTTTGCAACTCATCATTCATGAGGCTTTTCCTGTTGTAGAGGGGGACAGAGTATTTCCCATCCTCCTCTTTCAACATCTGACAACAGATGTTCTTCCTCCGAGGGTATACATCCTTCCACGGTTGGAGTTTGGCCCTCCGTGCTCTTTACAGTCGAGGAGCTTGTTTCCGGCTGATGGACCCGTGAGCTGTGACTGGAGGATCTGTCTGCATTTTCGACCACCTCTTTAACTTGGTCTCTCCTTAGACCTGATAGTGGTGTTGTCCCTAATCTAGCATTTTTTTTTAATTTTAATGCAATGGTCGGAGAAATAATATTTGTAATAAATTAAAACTATAATTTTGAACATATAAGTCATTTCTTATATCAAATTATTATAAACGTGAAAAAAATGCAAGACCGCAAGTGTTGCATGCTTGGCCTTGGTCTTGTGCAAGACCACGACCAGTCTCGCTCATCACTATTTCTGTTGACCAAAGAATACAGGGTGTCCCAGGCTGAGCGTGCATTGGAAGTTTCTAGAGAACTAAAATATCCAGATCGGAGATTTTTTGCACATTACTGTTTCAGAACGAGATCTATCGATTAAAAATATTTTCAATATGGTGGCGCTTCCGGAAATACCGGAAGTTGACAACAACTTTCTTATTTTCAATGAGTACCCCCAATTTTTATTACATAGTTAAACTCTCTGTAAAATTCTATGAATTTTGATATTAAACACTCTATACCTAATATTAACTGTTTTTAAGAAAAAAAAATATTTAAGATTTTTGGAGGAAAAAATAATTGCCTGTCAATTTTTTTACAGCCTAAACAACAAATTTAGTGATTATCACAGCCACTGTGGCATAAAGAGAAGACATGTGGCTATCTATTTCAAAAATTAAATTGTTCGAATGTCATATAATATTGGCCGTATAGCTGTCATGGAATTGAGCGATTAAAAAATTATAATAAATATTTTTTTTCAAATGGAAACCCACTTTTTTTATTTCACTAGTGAAAAGGTTTTTTAATTCGTCACTTTTTGTTTAACCTAACCAACTGTTCCTATATCTAAAATAACTCGATTTAGGTTATTGAAGATTTAGTTTAAAAGGGTATATTTTTTGTTATTTAACCAGTAGATGTAAACGTCACGCGATGTAAAACTATATCTGGCCATGTGATATTGCCATTAGCTATCAGTAAAATACGAGATATATTTTTATAAATACACTTTATAAAGTTTTATCAGGCAGTATTTATAATATACAAAATTCAAATAATTAATTTTTTGACAGAAGGAAATAAATTGTCTGATGGTTTGACACTTAATGTCAAAAGAAGCTAGATAAATCAAGAAAAAAATACGCTTTAAAACTAAATATTGAATAACTTAAAAATTATTTATTTTAGGTATAGGAACATGTCTAATCAAAAAGTGAAGAATTAAAAAACCTTCTTACTAATGAAATAAAAAAAGTGGGTTTCCAATTGAAAAAAATGATTTATGATAATTTTTTAATCGTTCAATTCCATAACAACTACGGCCAATATTATATGACATTCGAACAATTTAATTTTTGAAATAGATAGCCACATGTCTTCTCTTTATGCCACAGTGGCTGTGACAATCACTAAATTTGTTGGTTAGGTTGTAAAATAAAATTAACAGGCAGACATTTTCCTCCAAAAATTTTAAATATTTATTTTTCTCAAAAACAGTTATTATTAAGTATAGAGTATTTAATATCCAAATTCATAAAATTTTACAGATAATTTAACTATGTAATAAAAAAATGGGGGTATCCATTTAATATAAGAAAGTTGCTATCAACTCCCGGTATTTCCGGAAGTGCCGCCATATTGAAAATATTTTTAATCGATAGATCTCGTTCTGAAACAGTAATGTGCAAAAAATCTCCGATCTAGATATTTTAGTTCTCTAGAAACGTCTAATGCACGCTCAGCCTGGGACACCCTGTATGTTACAAAAACTCGCCCCGTGCATCAAAAAGGTTATAATAAAGTATTCCGGGCCTAGTTATTCTAAAGCCGCGTCCAAGCTACTCGAACAAAATGTTCGCGAACATATATAATTAAACAGATACTAAGTGAAAATTGTGAGATAGGTAGTTTTATAAATAATAAAGTCAACAAGTACAGCTAGCCTAGGCCTATCAAGGAACGCGGAGCGCCGAACGGCTAGCTTGTACGCCAGAGCCACAGCCAGAGCGTGCGTCTGCCTATGCTAGAACGCGCGCCACAGAATAGATATCAACCAGAAACCTAACTGGAGCTGAAATCCGTGACGTTTCACGAATTGGGCCGCCATTTAATAGCGGTAGAACACAGAGACGTATTTAATAAATTTCCGTTGAATGTATACAGAGTTGTATTTATTTTTTTGTTGTATATTGAAAAGTAGGGGACGCAGTTATTGACTGGGATCGTGAAAAACAAATATCTTTGTGAAAATTACATTTCCAACTAATTTGTTTACACAAAGAAATTTTTTTATAATTTTAATTTTATTGTGGGTTGAGTGTGAATAGCTATGCAGCTAGACTTGGTCCATATAATTTCATTTTTGTTAATAAAGACCTTTTTGATTATTTTTATTAAAAACCGGAATTATTATGGGATTCTGAAATTAAAAGTTACTACTTAATAGGAAGTTTGACACCGGAAATGAAATTTTACCATTACATTTTTAGAAATAAATATACCGGGTATTTCTGAAAAGTAGTTCACTTCTATAACTTTTTTAATTTTTTAGATAAAAAACGAGATTTGGTATGTTAGTATAGGAGATAAATCAGGATTGATCGACGTTTTCATTTATTTTCGGTCACTACTTATTTCATCGGAAATGACAACAACTTTTGATTTAAATGGTACCCTCAGTATTTTTTTACCGAAAATGATATTTTAAATAGAATGATATATTATATGTCAACTTTTGACATTTTCAATTTAAAAATGGCCATAAATAAACGTAACGACAATTTTACTCCAAATACCAAGTATGTGGTACCAAATTATTCGTAAAAAATGCTTTTTCCAAATATGCTGAGCCAGCCTCGTTCCATTTGAAAAATTTGAGTTATCATTAAAAATACGATTTGGGCATCTTTTAAGAGGTCATGAAAGGATACGAAAAAAAAATTACATGATCAAATATATGTTTCCAAAGTTCTTTGATTACAAATTAATAGTTTTAACTCAGTCTTGGCACTCTAGACTGAAATTTAAAATGCTATTTTTATTTAATTGGAATTGTCTAAAATTGACGTATGGTATGTCATTCTATTCAGAATGTCATTTTCTATCAAATAAAGTAAAAAAAAGTACTTAGGATATAATCTAAAAATACAAAGTTGTAGTCATTTCCGGTGAAACAGGAAGCGACCGAAGGTAATTGAATGTGTCAATCAATCCCGATTTATGTTATATACTAACAAACCAAATTTCGTTGTATTATCTGAAAAAATAAAAAAGTGTTTTGAGAAACACCTGGTAGAATCGGCTGAAAATGAATACAGGTCTTAAAAATACACTATAACGAATAATCTACCAAAAGACCCCTGTGACCCTCTGCCTGCTAAATATTGATTCTTCAACGACAAAAGTTCTTAAACTGTTTAGCGGTTAATTTATTTAACAAAATGCTTGCACTCGAAATCCGGGCACTCGAAAAAACAGCGACTACCTAAACGCATCCTAGATCTATAGAGTAAACTGGTTGTCGCATTTTTCCCCGCACCTCAGTCCTCGGGACCGATGCGATGGGCTGTGCCGTCGTTTACGACCTGCTGCTACGAGTATATAGTGTGAATTATATATGTTCGCGAACGTTTTGTTCGAGTAGCTTGGACGCGGCTTAAGAAGAAAGACACAGCCGTATAACATTTATGACAGATGTTTTTATCTACATAATAACATTTTTAGATTATTATTCTATGCAGTGTTACTTACGAGAATATTCACACCTGGGCCGAAAAATTGTACACTAAACCTGTTACACCAATTGACGCAATTCAAAACGTGGATGTCCATAATTTCAGACACGAAGTAATAGATGACGGACCATTTCATTTTGACGAAGACAATAAGTCTATTACCATAGCACAAAATTTAGTAATTCGTTATTCAGAAGAACTGAATGAAGTAATTAAAAATACATAGCTTCAACAATAATACTTTTTACATTTTTATTGTTTTTATATCTAGAGCCTATACAGGTGCCCGGTGGCGTAGAGGTACAGGCTCTCGTCTACCAATCTCAAGGTAGTGGGTTCGAATCCCACACCCGGCATTTCATCAGCCGACTATTTTTATTAAAATAAAAATAGTTTGAGTACCTAGGTCGACTCAGCCTTAAATAAATTACTTAAATGGGTACTTGGAATTCACAATCCTGAGGTAATAATAGGCGATTGAAGCGTAGTGCTAGCCACATTACTTTCCTTGTATACCGAACGGCTCTAGTATAGCAAGCTGTACCTTGCTACTCCAAAGGCGTTAAACGCTATATATGGGAGCTATTATTATTATTGTTTTTATACAATGTAACCTAATAAATTTAAATTCAATTTCAGGTAATTCCCTTACGTATCAACATTTATTATCCCAGTATTTCTGTCATTCCCGTTCATATCAAGTTCGGATATGTTTTAAATGGTTGTACTGAAAAAGCTGTTGTAACATTATTTAATAAATCAGGTATTATTCTAACTTTGCCTTCATAAAAAAATCTTAAAATTACTTTGATTGTCCATAGTTAATTTAATAATACATTTAGTTAATTATTAATAGTTATCATTAAGAATATTCATGTTCACTCTACAGAGTTTAAACGAATAACTGTTATAAATAATAACATATACAGGAATAAACAGGGTACAAAGTCAATATCTTGCATTATTAGGTCAATTGTAGTTGAAAATAATTTTTCTAAGCTGTTCACAGACTAGCATACATTTGATATTAGTACGAAGGAATGCTTCACGCCTTTAATTGTACAGGGTGAGTTTTCTACTACTGTTCTCTATGGGTAATATGGAAATCTATGGGTAGGTATCTCGGAAACTACTGAAACTAGAGAGTCGGTCAAATGCGGAAAGTATTGCAGTTTGGTGAGGACAAACATATGCACCTTTCGGATTTTTGAAGAAGATTGTGGCTTACTAGATATTTTGAAAAAAGTAAATTTCGGCTATTTTAAAAATGATGCCCCATTCCATTATAACCTATTTTAGACAAAAAGTTTTCGGATAAAAGTTGTATCACATCCTTAATGAGATTGTGTTCTTTCTTTTCTTCAAAAGTCTGTCATTTTTGACATATGACACAAATATATATTTTTTTAATGGAAACCGCAGTTGGCCATGACTTAAAAAAAGGCGCAATTTTTAAGCTTTCCCGCGATATACGTAATTCCTATCTTTTTTAAACAATTTAACTTAGTGAGCCATAGACACAAGTTCAATCGTCGTTGTTCCCAGAGATGTCAAACTGTCACATCCAAATAAAATATTTTATCGAGACGTAACTAAAGGAGGTTTAATAAAGTCGACCGGCCGTTCTGTGAGAAAAGCTCGTAATTCAGTTTTAAAAAGAAGCATTGTATGTAGTCAAAATAATGGCGGATATTTTGAACATTTGCTAAAATAACTTAAAGTGTATGTAGTGATATTAGTTTTTAAGGACCGTTTGATAACATATTCTATCTTTTTATAAATTATAAATCATAATAAAATAAGAATACTATGCCAACTAAGTGAAATTAGACAAAAAAAGATAAAAATTGGCTACAACTCGGTAATATTTAGAAAAAAAGATAGTATAGCTTATTTCGCGGGAAAACTTAAAAAACGGCGCTTTTTATGAAGTCATAGCCAACTACGGTATCTATTTAAAAAAACATAATATGTTTCTGTCAAATGTCAAAAATGACAGACTTTAGAAAGAAAAAACTGAAAACACAGTCTCATTAAGGATGTGATTATCTACAATTTTTATCTGAAATAGATGATAATGGAATTAAGGAGAATTTTTAAAATAACCAAAATATATATGTTTTTTTTCCAAATATCTAGTAAGCTATAAACGTTTTCAAAAATCCAAATAGCGCATATATTTGACCTCATAAAACTGCAATTTTTTCCCCATTTGACCGACCCTCTAGCTCCAGTAGTTTTCGAGATACATATAGAGAACATCGTAGAAAACTCACCCTGTACATAAACCTAATAGAGACCAAATACAATTTTCAAGTTTAGCAAAATTTTGTAACATTTTTTTGCAATTTTAGGTAGTAAGGTTCTTTTTGAAGTGTACAAAACAACAGCTACTCAAGAAATTGTAGTTAATCCACCTCATGGAGAAATAGGACCAAGTAGAGGAGCCAATTTGAACTTTGTAAACCTTGCTGTATATTTTACGCCTACGTAAGGAATCTGTATTACTTTTAATATTCAAAATTAACTATGAATCTGCAACACGAGTTAGGATGTACCATATTTCATCTATTAGGTCACCCTGGTCACCTACTACAAATACGATAAAATTAAGTCTCTCCTGAATTCTAAATAAATAGAGCTAACTTTTTTCAGACAATGTACGAATTATCAAGAGTGTATACGAATAGTAACAAACATTCCCCAGCATTATATAGATATTCCTATCAAAGGATCTGGATCATTAAATGAAAAATTTGTTACTAAACTGTAACTATTTATTATATAATCAATAAATGTTAAAATACATAAATAGTTTAACTTGCTTTATTATTTCCAAAAGTATAACTTTTTTTTAGTTTCCTGGAACTTTTAATAATTTAAATCAAATCAAATCAAATCAAATCTTTTTATTAGGCCCCAATATAAAAAATATATAAAATATAAACCATACTTTGGCTGACTAATAGCCTAATAGCCTAATAAGGAGTGCACCGCGATTACAAAACCGATTCACTGATTGCCAAAGGCATCAGTGTGGCACACTCCCTGTAAAAAATAACTAAACAGAATTTCATTTTCAATACAATAATATACCAACAACAAACAAACCCGTAAGAAAAACAGAGGACCACCGGCAAAGCAAAAAGAAACCCCGAGCGCACAGAACAAAGCGTCTGCAAGACAATTTAGCAATGTTAAAAAATATATAAATACAATTTCAACACATACACAAATATTTTCCAAAATTGTAAAGCTAGCAGTGAGCCAGTCAAAACCATATCAAATTAAAGGCCCGTTCACCACAGTTTGCCAAAATAACAAAAGATAAAAGATAAATTTAGAAATAAGTTCTATATTATATTCGATTGTAAAACCAGCAAATTATTCTTAACATATTTATTAAAATAATGTGATTTAAAGCATTTAACACTGATTGAAAGAGAATTCCATAATTGAGGCGCAAGAAAAGAAAACGATTTCTGAAAGCCAGCCGTCCTATGTTGAGGTATTCTGAAACGATGTAAGTTTCTTGTTACATGAGTGTGGTTAAAAGGAATAAACAATGATTTTAAATAAGGCGGTTGGCCAGTTTGTAAGATACGGTAGATAAATGTTAACATATGAAGTTTTCGCCTATTTACCATAGACAGAATATTAAATTGATTTAAATATGGCGTAATATGTGTATGAAATGAGATATTATACGAAAATCTCATGCAGGAATTTTGAAGTTTTTGAATGGATATGGCAACCATTTGAGTCAATGAAGAGCCGTATACCACATCTCCATAATCAAACAAGGACAAAATTAGCGAATTGCAAAGATCATATTTTGTATTCTGAGGAAGATGTTTCTTAAAATAAACCAAACCTTTTAGTCGCATATATGCAATTTTCAATTTATTTCTTACATGTATATCAAATTTTAAATTAGAGTCAAAATATATGCCGAGATTTCTAGCGTCCTTAACTATTGGTATTTTAGTATTATTAACACATATATCAAGATTGTCTGATAGATAATTGAGAATAGTCTGATTATTTCCAAACAGCATAATAAACGATTTGGATGCATTTAATTTTAGATTATGTTCCATTGAATATTTGTATATGTTATTAATATCTGTTTTAAAATTTTCTTCAGCTTGTTTTAAATTATCAGATGCAAAAGCACAGTAAATTTGTGAATCATCTGCATACTGTTGTAATGTAGAAAACTCAATTTCTTTATTCATATCGGCAACATATAATGAAAATAGCAATGGCCCTAATATGGATCCTTGAGGAATTCCACATGTCATAGAAACGTAATTTGACTTTAATTGATGATTCCCCTGTCTTACTTGAACGCAATGCAGACGATTAGAAAGATAATTTTTAAAAAACGTTATAGAGTTTTCTGATAATCCGAAGTAATGGAGTTTAGCTAGTAACATATCATAATTTATAGTATCAAATGCCTTGCTAAAATCAAGCAAAGCAAGACAGGTGATTTTTTTGTCTTCCATATTTACTCGAATGTCATTCACCAGTTTTACAAGACATGTGGTTGTACTAAATTTTTTTCTGAAACCGGATTGACACTCTGGCATTATTTTATTTTCGGTTAATGAAAATAACTGCTTATGAATATGTTTCTCAATAATCTAAATATGTATCATTCATGTATAGGACAGAAGCCATAACATGGTCATAACTATCCAGGATGTCTAAATAAAGAGTGAACGGTACCTCATCCAGTTGAATTTGTAGGACTTCTTTAACATTGATATATTATATACAGGGTGGTGCTATAAACATAAGGTGGACGATTGTACCTATGGTCTGCCTAGCGAGAGAATATTTTCTACTGAAAACATCCAAGAAATATTATAAAACAATCTACTTCTGAGGTAAAAGAACTTACTACTGGTCATATATAGGATCATATATGTATAGGCTGGACATATTACAAACAGTTACCTTTCTTGAAAAGAAAATCTTGAAATTGATGAATGATTAATATGAAAAAATATAATTATTAATTATTATACCAAGATGGCATCTTGCTCCATAGAGCAAGATATCATAAATAGGATAAACAAGGCCAGAATAACATTTGGAATGCTCAATAATATTTCGAGATCTAGGCAGTATTCTTAAGTAACTTAAAATTTGAATAACTTTAAATAAATAACTTTAAATGTCAAGTCAGCATTGCTGTATGGTGCAGAGACCTGGAAAATTATATCGCCATTAATTATCAAACTCCAAGTTTTCATAAACCTCTGTCTGCGAAAAATTGTAGGAATGTTCTGGCCAAATACTATCAGAAATAAGGATTTATGGAGTTTGACCAACCAGAGGAAAGAAAATTCCAAACTCCAAAGTTTCTGGGGTCGAAATATACTACCACTAAAATATTAGCACTTATTTAAGACTAATCCTGTATATTTTCAATAGTATTACCAAAGTTTACAGAATAATTGAAGAAATTACTTATACCGTATGATCGAATAAAAACAGCGTCAGCGATGGTTATGAATTGAAGATCGCTGTCATTTTATGTGTAAAATTATATGGGGAATGTCATCGATCGTCATTTCCAAACCAACTGGCCGCCGTTTTTTTTTCGATCATACGGTATAAACTTTGATATTATCCAGGATTATGGTATTATCAGCGGTGTAATAAACGTTCTTATAAAATACTTCCAGCATTGATACCTCCATTTTTGGAATTTGACTACATTTTTAAAAATGCAAAAATAGTCCTCTCATCATAAGAACACACAAAGAACTTTAAACAGGTTCACTCACCAAAAAAATCAATTTTAATCTGGAAACAATTTTATTGTAAACTGACCGGTATGTTCCATAAGTGTATTTCAAAAAATATTATTTAGCACACATTCCATATATTTTGTAAATTTATTGGAGTAATTTCAAACAGGAAACTGATATGAAGATTTCGGCACAGTAAGTGGGCGTATATAGTGAAGATAATTAGTTCTAAGTTCGAAGCCGATTAAATTTAATATATCATATTAGTTAAAAAGAGAGAAAAGTTAATATTAGTCAGTCAAAAAGTCATATTAGTTAAAAAGAGTTAGAAAAACTGATGGCAGACATCACAAGTAAAAAATGTCTATACCTATGTGGCGGATTCATCTTTCCAAAAAAATCCTTTATGGGGATTTTGCCACTGCACTGCAAGAAAATCTACAAAATAAAATAATTATTTTTTGTAAACACTTCTGCGTTAAACCTAAACGGACGCTGCTTGTCAGAAGTTATGTTTACAGTAATACAAATTTGCCTAACAAAGAAAAAAAATGCTTAACGTTTCGGAAAGTTATCTCTTTCCGTCGTCGGAAGCAAGAAAATACAAAGAATAAAGAAAAAAAAACTATTTAAAATATTTAAATTCAACTATTTGAGAACACTTTACTTTTTTAAAACAGATACGTCTACAAGGAGCATATCAAAAATCTTAGGTACACCGCGATGGGCCTCAAATATGGCCGACTTAAATTCCGGTTTATCAGTGTCGTTCTAATTTTATTTAAAAAATGTAAAACTAAGATGTAGGGTAGACGTGGGGTAGACTCAATAATTTGTTGTTTTATTTTACGTTGTGAATAAATGTTGGTAGTTATTAAAATTGTTATAAAAATATATAATTCTAATAAAAATAGATAAGTTATAATAAGTATTTATTACCACAAACATCCGATACGCTACTGAAGCAGGTAAGTCAAATTAACGTATCTAAATTCTTTGACATCTAATCTTCAACAAGTAATAAATAAAAGCTAAAATGCAAGAAAAATATATAATTTAGTTAATTTAAGTGAATTTCATAAATGATCGGTTTACTACACGTATGTATATTATATAGTCACTTACTAGCGAAAAGTTGTTCCATTATTTCACTCAATTTTTGCCGAGATCTACCGCACGCTACATAACCAACTATTTTAGAGTCTTTTTCGATAAATCGCGATAGTGTCACTGTTAATTTAAGTGCTGCCACAATTTCCATCTAGATTTACTACCTTTATACAACTATCAGTAGTAGAATAAATAATAAATAACATAAAATAAGCTCCGTAAAGACAAATCCATAAAATTTCAAATCAAATTCAAATGTGTCAAATGAATCGTCAAACAGAACTGTCAAGGATCCCCACCCTAGAGTGCTTTTATGGTGCTTTTTCCGCTCACCATACATGAATACATGGATAGCATTGTGCTCCTTCCTTAGTCTTCTTATTCAAATGTCTACAAGAAACCGTTGACGTTCTGTTAAAATGATATTTTTATAAAATAATATATTTTTTAATATCAAGTTAAAAATGTCATTTTAACAGAACGTCAACGGTTTCTTGTAGACGTATCTTTTTTAAAAAAGTAAAGTGTTCTCGAATAGTTGAATTTAAATATTTTAATAGTTTTTTTGCTTTATTCTTTGTATTTTTTTTGCTTCCGACGATGGAAAGAGATAACTTTCCGAAACGTTAAGCATTTTTTTTTTCTTTGTTAGGCAAATTTGTATTACTGTAAACATAACTTCTGACAAACAGCGTCCGTTTAGGTTTAACGCAGAAGTGTTTACAAAAAATAATTATTTTATTTTGTAGATTTTCTTGCAGTGCAGTGGCGAAATACCCATAGAGGATTTTTTTGGGAATCACAAGTAAAATACGTCTACTGGATATGTATCAATGAAAGGACTGCAAAAAACATCTAAATAAATAGCAATATATTTTATAAATCGCTACCTAAATAGAAGCGGTGCGGGAAAGGGTTCACGTGGACATGACGAGTATGTCACCGCAAAACGTTGACATACAAATCAAAAATGACCGAATAGCTGAAACCGGTCACAAATAAAGATTTTTGATAGTGGTCTGGTAGTACAGGAGAAATGGAAATCATTTCAATGTGTGGAGGTCTCAATTTAATTGTTCCAGTTGTTTTACAAAACATGCAATAAAAAAACCGACACTATCCAATTCTTGATTAGGTCCAAACCTCTGTAAAAGTAATCTCTCCTCCTCATTCAATGATGTGCCTTTCCATCCAGGGCCTCCTATGTTGATATGTGACTTCGCTAGCTTTAAACAATTAAAGGTCCTTAGGGCCCACGCAACAATACCTTCATTTTCTGCTAAAGTTATAGTACAAGTACTGTAGACAAGTGTACCGCCCGGTTTCAAAAGGGATACAGCCTATAAACAGAAAGAGTCAATCTACTAAAAGTAAAAAATGGTAAATTTTCTTATCATAGAAAAAAATGCTATTGTCTAAAATACAAACAAGTTTAATGTGGTTTACTTACTGTTTCAAAAAGTCTTCTCTGTAAAGGAACATATGATCTTATCACTTTTACTGAAGTCCTATTTGACAACTGAGGCCTTCTACCCAACGCACTACATGGTGCATCCAATAGTATTCTGTCAAAACTTTTTTCGAAAAACGGAGGTGCCATATCTAATCGATCTTGTACGGAATGATTTTGAGAATTATTTAAGATTTTTGTTGAATCAGCTTGATATACTTTAACATTGGCTCCAAATTCCTCGCACGTTTTAATTAGTTGTTGTACTTTATTTGGCGTCTTGTCTATCGCGATTATAGAGCCTGTATTTTCCATTAGCGCTGCAATATATGTTGTTTTATTTCCTGGTGCGGCACACATGTCTAAAATGATTTCGTGCTTTTGAGGATTTAAAACGTTCACGCAAACAATCGATGGAAAGTTTTGTAGAAGGCCCCATCCAGCTGGTAAAAAGTTATCTCCAATTGGTGGACATCCAGACAATGTTTCGGTTATTTCTACAGCAATTCCTCTAAAAAAGATTTTTTTAAATACAGGATTGTTCACCACATACGACACGGAGCATTGTGGCTAAACGATTAGATTTTGGTAAATTGTACATTTTGGGTACGTTGAAAGACTATTAGAGCTTAGCAATTTAAAAACATTTTTACGAGAAACAGACATTTTTATTTTACATTTTTACAACAAACAAATATAAAAAAATATCAGTTGTATTTTTTTAATGGAAGACCCTGTATATTATTACATTTTTAGTTCCTACGATAAAAATAAAGGTAAATTTCATTAAGGTTTACTGCATTTTAATCTTACCGTTTTTGAAATATTTAGGTTTTTGTCAAAATACAGTAATAATTTTAATGCTTCATTTTTCTAGGCTTATTTAAGTTTTTAAAACCAAATATTGTACTGAAGTATTTCTATTTATTAAATTTTGCGTTGCAATAATAAAAATGATATTACCTGAGTGTCTAAAAAAATTATTTTACATAATTACTAGCTTTAAATAGCAATAACTTGTTTAATTTAAATAGAACACGTTGTATATTTTATGATAATCAGATGCACAATTTAATTGTCTATCAAATTGTATTATACCATTTTTATCTCTCTTCAATTTTTCGTAGAACATGCATTTTTTTATAATTTAGACCTCATTTATCAATGTACCCATGAAATATTGACATTTTAGATTATTTTTAAAGATGAAACAAATTTTTAAAGAGTACAGATACTAATATTGTCGATATAGTTCGTTTATTTCATTAAAAAAATAAAAAACAGAGAATTTAGTAGAAAATTGGCAATATTTAAAAAACCACTAGGTATAGAATAAGACTTTATGGTAATTAGAATGGGAATCTAATAGCAATACACAGATCTAAAAAAATATAATATTCCATTTAAATATATAGACCTTCAGCTTGTATTCTTTTAAATTACCCTGTATATTGATAAACCTATTTTTAGAATATGCGCTACAATTTTCCGCTTATATAAACAGATTAGAAAGAAAATTTTAAACAAAAGATTTTTTAAACAAAAGCAATTTTGAAGCCTGGGATCACCCTGTATAAGTATAAATACTTCTTGTATTGGTAGTTGCCTGTTAAACAAATTTGCTAATTTAAAAAGCGTAGTTAATAAACTAGGTATCTCAGTTTGTTTATAAATTTCATATATATTATAGGTATTTTAACTGTTTGTAAAACGCAGTAAAAATGTAGTTTATCTATACCTACTTTGGCAACTTCTCTTTTCCAAACAGGTCATGTCGTGCCATTTTAATTATTCCATTTGCAATAAATATTTTTGTTCCATCTGTAAATACTTTCGAAAATCCTTTCTTGCATTTCTTATCCAAATCGACATAAATACTAACATTATCGTTCACACAAGAACCTAAAATCAGTGTATAAAGATATTCATAAATTACTATTTGAAGATTTAAACGAATACCAGCGCATTCGCCATTATCTCAAAAACATTAATCAGTTTCATTTTTCCTTTTTTCAAGAGTCAAATTAAAATATTATAATAAAATAAATTAATTTAATATAAAATGTATTACCAATCATCATTCCCAATATACCAGGAGCATATATATGAGCACCTCTGAGAACTGCAGCTCCACAGTCTGCATCAACTATAATTTCCTTTTCATATTTTTCAAATATCTTCCCTTCAATGTCTTGATGAAGTAACAAAATAACTTGTGGAAACGATTCTAAATACTGAAGAATTCCTGAATATTTTGAATTAATCTATAATTATTGAAATAACGAAGTAAGTTATTAAAATACAATTAGTGCTAAATATATTTAATTCAAACACGTACAGTTTTGAGATGGGCTTCAACTTTCTTATAAACGGCATCTCTTGATGTCTTTAACGTATTTATTCTTATTGTAGTTAAATTAGGGGCTAGACATATCCATTTTAATACTTTTTTCATATCATTTTGAATCTAAAATTTCGGCGCAATTTTGTTAGCAGGATTACAAACATAACTACATTTTTCTTACCAGTGTCATTTCATCATCGTTCTTCAAATGGAATAAAATGCCTTCATCAAAGTCTTCTGGAAATGGCGAATTAGGATATGGCATTCTCTAATTTTATTTTTAACTTAAAGAGATGTTTTAATTCAACTATATCATAAAATTATATCTTTTTCATTTCCAGCGTATAGGAATGATTATTGCTAAGATATTGGTACACATGAGTCACGTGTCGCTAATTGCCCAATCAGTTTAGTGTTACACCAAGACGTGGCACCTATACGTACGAAAGCGCTTCCACGTTCGCCATCTTGACATTCGTCAAATTTCAGGGTGGGTTGTGAATGTGTTAGCGTTTTTTAAAGGCAGACAGTGATTTTAATAAAAAAGGTATGTTTCTTAATGTTTTAGATTATTCCAATTTGCTTAGTATAACTATCTTAATCGTGGATATGCTTGAAATATACTGTTGTTGTATGATTTTCGGTTTCTTGGGAGTTGGTTGAGTTGACAACAAGTCATATCGGCATTTCCAATATTTTCTTCCATTACAATAAAAGGACAGCCGTACACATAAATGGCTATAGCAAATACGTTTTATTTTCTTAAAACCAACTTATTTTTATAACGTATTTTATACAAAATTGTTGAAATATTAATCAATATGTCAAATACTGCAAGTTTTAATAATAACCTTAATTTTACATTAACTGTCTTGTCCATCTTTGTTCTAAATTTAACAGCAATAAGTTGTATATAATTAACGCGTAATTCCCTATTTATATATGGTATTAATTTTTAGTTCTTTTAGGGTTAAGTGAAGACTGTCGCCATGGGGAATGTGTTTGCAAACTTATTTAAAGGCCTCTTTGGCAAAAAAGAAATGAGAATACTTATGGTAGGATTAGATGCTGCTGGTAAAACAACCATCTTATATAAACTTAAATTAGGTGAAATTGTAACTACAATTCCCACAATTGGTAAGTAACACAGCATCAAATAAAATTTGAACCTTATTGTGAAGTGTGAACGAAATCAATCCTCAAATACGGAACTTGACTGTATTAAGCCTAGTTATTTATTTAAGAAAATAATTATCTTCTTTGGCTTCTACTTCTTTTAAAAAATAAATTTATGAAAATCAGTAATTATAAAAAAACTATTGCAAATTTCAAGATTTTATTGTTTCAATAGTAATACATTTAATGAGTCATCATTTTCCAAATCTAACCTTGGTATGTGATCTACTTTAAGTGTGAAATATGATTTTTTTTAGGGTTTAATGTTGAGACTGTAGAATATAAAAACATAAGTTTTACTGTATGGGATGTAGGTGGTCAAGATAAAATTAGGCCGTTATGGAGACATTACTTCCAGAACACACAGGTAATTATACTATTTATAACTTTTCCACAGCTGTTAACTATGATCTGTATAAATCCATAAACATATTTATTGGAATTTTCTAATTAAATAACTTGATCTCATAGGAAAACTGCAAATGCTTCTCAAAAAAATTTCTATTCTTTTTAATTTATATTTTTTAATTTAATCTGCCTTAAAAAAAGAAGTAATTGTATTAAAATGTATAGGTAAAACTAGAGAGTACATATAGTTTATTTTATTGCTAAAACAGGACCTCTGTTTTTTAATAACGCAGCAAGTAATGAATGTCTGATAAGATAGTATATGATATTATGATATATGCTAACTATGTATAGCTTTTAATATAGACTTCTTGATTCCATTTTATAATAGAATAAAAGACAACCATATATTTCTTATAATTAAGTCATAATGTTTTCTATTGTTATAATTATGATAAAAAAAATATGATGAAGCATACTTTGTAAGCTGATTGATGAAAAATCTAGTATTTTACTATAATTAAACTCATAGGATTTTATTGTAAAGTTCAAAAAATGAAAATATATCTTTTAAGTAAAAAAAACACGTGTCTTGGTTAAGGAATAAACAACTCAAATTCCATATTTTTTACTAGTTTCAACAGGCATCTAAAAATTACAACAACAGAGGGGTCACTAAAGAATAATATTTAGAGCAAATATAATTGTCTGTTACCACAATTGGCTTTTGATGTTAAACTTACAGGTTTTTATTATTAAATTTACTAAAATAATCAATTAGGATTTATACGAATACAAATAAACCTTTATACAAATTAACTTGATTAGTGGAATAGTAGAATTTTATTTATGCTTAGTTCCCTTACTATCAGATATTCATCTTTAAAAAAATAATGAAATGTTAATTATAATTATTAATATCTTATTAAATACATGTGATGGCAGTACATAATTAGAAAAAATAGGATTTGTAACGCGTAGTATGTAACTTTAAAATATGGGTTTACAGCCATAACAATATTAAAGAAAAACATTTCTATACACCTAAAATGTAACTAGATCTAAAATCCATGGACTCAACTCTCATTTCCAAGCCAACTGGACTCCGTTTCTTTCGATCATATGGTATAATATCGCCAGTATCTGCAAAATCGTTATAAAAATTTTGAAATAAATACAAAAAATGTTAATTTTTTAATTAACTTCATTTTGGTGCTCTTTTACAAATAATTAATAATAGTAATAAACAGTGGCGGCTCGTGACCCGTGTGACTGGGTAGGCGACAAAATTTTAGTTGCGTCTATTTGCATCTATTTTATGAAATATCCGGAATATTCTCTTAACATCTAAACCTACCGAGCCTCCACGACTTCATGCGAAGGCGACCGGAGATTTCGCCTAAGCCCCGCCTTAATATGATACAACTTCGACTTACGTCGCGTCGCCACCGCCCGATGAGTTAGACAGAGACAGAAGACTGCCGTACGTCGTGCATCGACTCTGATAGTAGGCGATGTAGAAATCGCCGAACTAAGGCACTCCAACTGTCAAAATTATTTTGTTTTCTAACGCAGCGACACTCAGCGGTCACCGTACGCCAGCGGTAGTGTTAATATACAAGACCACAAATATTAAAATAATATTGATTATTAAACCACTTTCGTAAATTAACAGTATTTTTATGTATTGGCAACATTAATAGTAAATAAGTAATGTATAAGTAAGGTTATGTTCATATATTTTTTTGTCATTTTCGTGAAAATAGAGCTTAAATTCTGCCAAAATCTTAGGGTAGGCGGCGCCTACCTTGCCTACCCGGACGAGCCGCGACTGATAATAAAAGTTTATTGTTCCAGAGCATATACACATACATAATTTATAAACTATTCTAATAATAATTAGAAACAAAAGGCACAGTCAGCTTCCTTTAGAGTCGAAGATGCTGCTGAGGCCAAGATATAAGTAAAATAATTATAACAATATTAATACTAAAAAATGTTATTCAAATTTAAACAGTTTGCTTTTTTTAACAAATTAGCTGTCAATATAAACAATATTAGTATCTGTATTTTTGATATTTTGTCACTTCTTTAAAAAAAAATCACAAATGTTAAGATTCCATGGGCATATTGATAAATACAACGATAAAAAGAAAAAGAGATCTCTAAAAAAAGGGCAATACAACCTGATAGATAACTAAATTTTGGATCTGATGCCTGGAAAATACAGACTGTTTCATTTAAATTAAACAATTGAGGTTGAAGGCTAATAATTATTTAGAAGTAAATTTTAGATACCCTGTATAGATAAGCTATATAACTTTTGTATTTTTACAAAGTTATAAAAAATTTAAAAACAGTAAGATTTAAATGAGGTAAACCGTAAACTTTAATCAAATCCTTATTTTAATCGTAGAAACTAAAAATGTAATAATATACAGGGTGTTCTATTTAAAAATTCAACTTTAATATTTTTGATTAATTTAGGTCATTTTGTACTGTTTAAAAATAATTTTAAATTGTGGCTCTAGTTAGTTTCAAATAGAATGAATAACCCTGTATATACAAATACGGTAATGAATTTAACGTAAAATTTGAAAACAAAATAAATATAGAGGGTTACATTTAAAAAGTTGTTATGTCTACCATATATTATTATATATTAGGCCACAGAGGGGTGTCTCTGTACCCGAAAATAATTTTAAATTATGTAAATTAACATTGTTTATTTTTATATAATTTCAAAAACAAATGATCTTTGTACTATCGTTATCTCACTCTGTAGATTATATGTTCATATATTTTTTTTGTCATTTTCGTGAAAATAGAGTATTTCTTGTTTTCTTTCTTTTCTTGTTGGTAGCAAATTATTTAGTGCAATTATACAAATTAGCGTATTTGTTTAATGTTTTTAATTTTTAATGCTAAAGTTTATTACAAACAAAGTATATGTTTATGTGTAAAGTGTGAATTAAATATATTTTTGTATTTTCGGGTACTTAGCTTACAACGTTAAATGTCACCCGTTCCGTTTTTTACAAGTTTTGGTACATAGGCCGTCTCAGCCGCAGATTAACTTAAGATGTGGCACCTTTGAATAAGAAGACTAAGGAACGAGCATAATGCTATTCATGACAGTTCTATTTGACGATTCATTTGACGCATTTGAATTTGATTTGAAATTTTGTGGATTTGTCACTCTTTACGGAGCTTATTTTATGTTATTTATTATTTATGCTACTACTGATAGTTGTATAAAGGTAGTAAATCTAGATGGAAATTGTGGCAGAACTTAAATTAACAGTGACACTATCGCGATTTATCGAAGAAGACTCTAAAATAGGTGGTTGTGTAGCGTGCGGTAGATCTCGGCAAAAATGTGTGAAATAATGGAACAACTTTTCGCTAGTAAGTGACTATATAATATACATAAGTGTAGTAAACCGATCATTTATGAAATTCACTTAAATTAACTAATTATATATTTTTTCTTGCATTTTTGCTTTTATTTACTACTTGTCAAAGAATTTAGATACGTTAATTTGACTTACCTGCTTCAGTAGCGTATTGGATGTTTATGGTTATAAATAATTATTATAACTTAACTATTTTTATTAGAATTTTATATTTTTATAACAATTTTAATAACTACCAACATTTATTCATAACGTAAAATAAAAAAAATATATTGAGTCTTCCCCACGTCTACCCTACATCATAGTTTTACATTTTTCAAATAAAATTAGAACGGCACTGATAAACCGGAATTTAAGTCGGCCATATTTGCGGCCCATCGCGGTGGACCTAAGATTTTTGATATGCTCCTTCCTTAGTCTTCTTATTCAAAGTGCTTAAAGTTAGTCTTCTTATTCAAAGTGCACTTATTTCATCTTGCTGATAAGCGCCGCCGTGATCTCGAATCTTTAATAGGGTTATGGCGTTGTCAGACTTCGTTTCTTTTTCTCGAATGCATTGTTGAAATAGAAAATACAGGTCCGTATTTAAAAAAAATTATGTTGGCCTCTGTATCTCACTAATTATCAGATAATTTGAAAATCTAAAAATACTATCAGATAGCCCTAATAAAGTGGCTATGAGAATGTGCAATTAGTTTTTTGATTTTCTAAATAGCAATGAAAGAAAAAAAATAAAATTGATTTTCAAAAAAATCAGTTTTTTCCAAAAAACTCAGCAAACTTCAGCATTTTTAAAACTTTTTTGATGACATCTTGGTGAACATCCCAAAGCGCAACCTTGCCCCAATTTAACCATGTTCATATCTATTACGGTTACCGAGATACCAATGCTCGTACCTCGAATTTGTAACACCCTGTATACCGACGGCGTTTCTGTAGTACGCTGTACTTGGTTGCTTTATGCGTGTAAACGTTGTATATGGGAGACTGATATTGTATTACATTTTTAACTATCTACTTTTTATTTTCAGGGACTTATCTTTGTAGTAGACAGCAACGACAGGGAGCGTATTGGCGAAGCCAAAGACGAATTGATGCGTATGCTGGCTGAAGATGAATTAAGGGATGCTGTACTTTTAATTTTTGCCAACAAACAAGATTTACCTAATGCAATGAATGCAGCTGAGATCACCGACAAGTTGGGCTTGCACTCCTTGAGGAATCGTAACTGGTATATCCAAGCTACGTGCGCGACAAGTGGAGATGGTTTATATGAAGGTCTGGATTGGCTGTCTAATCAACTAAAGAATGCCAACCGTTAAGTGCAGTGTTCTCCACAGTCACTCTGTGATTGTTAAGTACTGGACTGAGTGTTTTTTAATACCATATGTTGCAAATATGACGAAAGTTTACTGTTTGCTGCGGTATTGCAATTAATTCACAATAATCATATTTATGGTGTACTTGTGTTGTATATGACAAACAGTAAACTTAGCGCTGGTTGCACTCGAGTTTTTTATATATGCGTTTTTAATTTATTCTGGTATGCTGATTAATTTTGTACAATATTGATTTTTTTGTACTAGCGGTCTGTACAGTAGTTATTTGTATTAATATAAACTAAAATAGTAAGTGTTATTTTTGTAACATATGGTAGGACCTGTTCGTCTTTAGAACATTTTAAATTGGTTGGGCCCCGCTCAAACATTTTTATTGTTTAAATTGAATTCTATTTTGTTTCTTCTATTTCCATATAAAGCTAAAAGAAAAAATATTGTTCGATGCGTTTAGTTTTTGACAACCGCGGGCATGTGATTTAAAAGTTATAGTTGAAGAAAAAGGCATCATGGTTATTCGTGGACATTCCCGTTTTGTCAAGCTGTATTATCAAAATAAATTTATACTATTAACTTATTGTCTATAATTTAAATACATAATAAATCTCATTGTTTTAATTTTTTCTTTAGCTAACCTGTTGTATGTACTTTTTACGCCGCATATTTCGGAGTTTAGGTTTCTCTTTCAGCTTTAATATATTTTTTTTTTAAAATGAGGTTATGCTACTGTACTTGATTATAAGGAGATTATAAACATGTAGATTTGCGTATAACTGTTGTATTTTTGAAAACCTTTTAGATCATTAATTTGTAGTATGTCCTTTTTTATCTATACATTTTTTAAAATGGTATATAATTTCCTTCATTAACTAAATCTTGAAGAGATACTGTATTTTGAATGTGGTAGACAATGATTCAGTATTAAAACTAAAAGAGTTTTAGACTTCCATCATTGTCTTTATTTATTTTGCTTACACAACGTTTTGGTCGGAAGTGTCACTGACCAGTTCATACTTGATAACAGTGATATTTCTGACCGAAACGTGTATGCAAAATAAATAAAGGCAATGGAAGTATGAAACTCTTTTAGTTTTAAATACAGTATGTTTAAGTTTTATCATTGACTTAAGCACTTAAGCATTGACTTCGCAGTTAAAAAAAATAATGTAATTTTCTATAAGAATATTCAATATCATGATAAAATCACATTATTATTTTTTTAATCACATTGTACTTTATGAGTCCTTAAATTTAGAATGGTATATTTATCGACATATATCTTTAATTATTTGGAGCAATTTATTATAGATTTGCATATAACTGTTTACATAATTGCATTTTTATATTTGAAAAACTCTTTAAATTTTAAGCATTAGCAGTCAACTTTCCAAACAACTTAAATAAATATATTAATACAAAATGACTAATAAGTCATTTTGTGATGATACACGAAATAATCAAAGGAATTTCTAATAAGTCATCTATAAAATTATGTACTCTTCCGATTTTCTTTATCCTAATTGCAGATTAGTCATATATTTAGTGATATCTGTCTATTTTGTTTTACAAGGTTTGATAAAAAAAATGAATATACAGGTAAAAATGTATATACCTATGTGGCGGATTCATCTCCAAAAAATCATTTTTGGGTATTTCGCCACTGCACTGTATGAAAATCTACAAAATAAAATAGTTATTTTTTGTAAACGCTTCTGCGTTAAACAGTTTATTGTTTTTGGTAGTGCAATGGCGAAATACCCATAAAGGATTTTTTTTTGGGAGAAATATACAGGTGTCAGAAACTACATTTTTATTTTGGCTTGGCTCAGTTTTAATTCGGACAGGGAAGCGTGTTTAAAGATCTTTTAATGTTTGTGTTTGTGTAAAAGTCTTGCTAAGTATTTGCCTTGCTGAAACATTACGCTATCTGTCACTATTTAATGATTTGTAGAGGCCTTCTTGTGTATTTTTGCTGTAGTAGAGTAACCCTTTTCCAGCATTTTCAGCGCCTATTATCATCTACCCCCTTTCTCAGGTATATCGTCCAATTCCCTTTTAGTTGCAGAACTTTGTTGCAGTTTTTGAACGTTGCAGAATTTCTATGCTAACATTACAAATATAACAAAAATTGTTGGAAGTGGTCACTTCACATAAGAGACGTGTCTGCGCATGGAATTACATACCTAATGTTTCAAATATTCCCGCCAAGGTATATTCAGAATAGTTTCACAAGAGGCAACTATTCACGATTCGGATAAACATATCTTAACTATTTCGGAAAATTACACTGAAATGAGGCAGGAGATGTTGAAGTTACTCATTCAAATATTCTTCAATGAAATGTAGCTGTGCAGTGTAAAATGTGCAAGGCGTACTGGTAGAAAGAGTAGAAATAGATCTATTGACTTTTGAATATATAAAGCAATTTAATTTTTTTAATTGAAAACGCTGCAATTGGCATGATAACGTACAATTTTCATTAATTTTTGAAATTTTTGATCAAATTTATATTTCCTTCCAGCAGATGCAGAAATCATTTTCACACAAACGTCACCGTATCAGCTTTTTAGCCATTTGACTAAAATAAAATTACTAATTATATTAAGCGAAAAATATGCGTCGGACGAAAGAATATGAAGAGATTGAAATTGTTTAGAAATGAAACATATATTTTTTTTTATTTTAAGAGAATAAGTCAAAGGCGTACTATTTTTTTCTTCAAAATTTATCAATTATAAACTCGTATACACTCCATTGGAAATAAAAAAATGTTTGTACATCAAAAGAAGCATTTTTATGCATAAAACACTTGTTTCAAATTTCTTAGCTATGTTCATAATCAAGGGCTATATCTAATATCAGAGTTATTATGAAAAATAGTTTTAAGGTAAGCGCGCATTTATTCGCATCGGACGGACGTATCGGACACACGGAACAGACGAAAATTATTATTTGCCTTATTTTAAATGAGACAACGCACATACATACGTATCGGACGCATCGTAGACACGGAAATCCGTTCAGAATTATTAGGAAAGAATTAAATCCGTATATACGATGCATGCGGATGACGTCGTTCGTAAATTCGATGAAATGCGCGATGTAAAAAGGAATCGACTTGCAGAATTTGATTTGTTTTTAACGTTATTTTGAGCAGGTGCCTAAAAGAGTGAAAATGGATGACGGACTATTAATTTCTTTAGTGCAACAATAAAATGAACTTTATAATTTGAAAAACAAAGAGTACAGTAATCAGCAAGGACGCCAAAATATATGGGAGGAAATTGGGCAGATAATCAAACAACCGGTTACGTAGACGGAATATAATAGAATAAATCTTTAACATATAGGTATATTTAAACAGCAGAAAAATCAGTTTAACATCTTTTTAAAAATACGGTTCATATTTATATTATGGACCTAAATTTGTTTTTTTTCTTGTTCCTTTGCTCTTCCTCTTGAAATGCACATGCAATTGCAAATAATAATTCTTCATCAGAAATACTACTCATTTTAAATTTGGGAAGCGAATGTGAAAAACAGAATTTTCGTATTAGCCCGCTTCGAGGATTGCACTAAAATGAAAATGCGGGAAGAAAATCCGAATATAATATGCGATGATAACAAGTATATTGCGATTCGTCCGATGCGTCCGTTGCGTCCGGTGCGAACAAATGCGCGCTTACCTTAAAACACATTATTTTTATCACTCTCTATCTCAAAATTGAAGATGCTTAGGACACGTTCATATGAAGTGTTTTTTCCTTAGAATAGGTTCAAGAATCTCCTCCCTAAATATTGTCATGCCATTAAGAGTCTATTACGCTGTACTTTCGGGTTGCTCTCAGGGGTCGGGTAAAGCCGGTGTGTAGCCGAAGGAAATATATTATATTATATTTCAGCAATCTGCCTAAGATTTAGTCTTATCCTGTCGTGTTAAGCCACACCCAAAATTCCAAACACACGTGCTTTTATTAAAGGTCTGTTAAAGGTAGATTAAGGTTTGCAGAGCTTCAGCATTTGCCATAAAGTAGCGAGCAATTTGTTAAAAAACCATATAAATTATATATCACTGTAATCACAAAACTTCAATCTATTTCAGTATATCGTAACGGAATTTTAATTTGTCTATATTTTCGGGAAAATTTAGTCCAAACATAAGGAATATTTTGTTGATGTTTGACCATAAAAATCTTGAAAATAAAGAAGTTGTATAAACTACTAGTGACTAGTGAAATGGACTGACTCTTAGGAGCACCCTGTATATTTATTCTTTTTGTTGGATGCTTGGATGTACGGTGGGTAGAGGGGTTTTGCTGTTTTGTAAACTAGTGGCGACCTCTAATAGTTATCTTCTTCATTGATATTGTATACAGGAAATTTGAATTACAGTTTTCTGTTTCATACAATACCAGTAGTACGTGGTGTCGGCGCAAGATAGAGCTACCTGTACGAGTTCTAAGAATTTTAGTAATTTCAAAATTTAAAAGATCTTAAAAGGAGTTGATAAAAAAATATTTAGAATTAAATACATAAATAAAAGACTTTATTGATAGAAATTCTTTTATAATATTATATCCACTCGTTAGAATTTGCAGCCCACGGACCATCGTAAAGAGCAGAGAACAGCAGGATTATTATCTTGATCTGGGCCAATACCCGCTCACACGTTCATACACTCGCACACATCGCGACCGTTACACTTCTGCACTTTAAAATCACAACCCATTAATAAACCTTTTTTGAAGCGGCCCGCGCCATTACTTCCCATTATCGTGTTAAAGATTTTTTGTTTTTTTTTCTTCGGACATCTGTCGCCGTTTGTAATACGTATACTGGCGCCTCAATGCTGGGACATTATTCTTGGATTCTGGAAAGTGTAAATCATTTGACCATGAGTAGGTAAGAAAGATGTATTCTAATAGAGTGACCAGATTTTGAGTAAACAATTAGCCCCTATACACCAGAAGATTCGGCCTGCCGACTTGGCCTGTCGCGTACTAAAACTCGTACCTATATTAGTCTGCTGACTTGTCCTGCCGATTAAATCTTTGTTCGATTAAATATTCTCGTTCAAAAAATCCGATGTTTTCTAACAGTTTTTGTGTAGATAATTGTCTATCAGAATAATAAAAAAAACTGTGTATGCACTATGTGCGCATATTTGAAGTAAAACTTCTTACTTCCGTCTGTCCGCCTCTCCGTTTGTCCGTCTGAGGTCTCCATTCGGGTACCTCTATCCACGTGCCGAGGTTGGTTCCAATCGACATATAATCAAGAAAAATCCTCATGATTTCGTTCATTTAGAGGCATTGTTTCGAAATCTCGAGGACATCCTGTAGCCCGTCCCCAATTATGCCGAAATCGACCCACATTTTTCTTCAATATCAAATCCTTAGTCCCACCCTGATGAAGATGTAAACGAAACCTAGCCAACTTTGTAGCTGGGACTGTGTGCACCGTAGCTCACATAGCCAAAAATCTCGCGACCATAGCCAAAAATCTCGCGACCAAATTTGGTATGTAAATTTTGTCGCGATCGCACATCAACTTTTGACGTTTCTTACGTCAAAACTAAATGTCACAGTGACAAGTAACAAGTGTCGTACACGGTCAAGTTGGCCTTGGTCCAATCTAACGACATACGAAATTTCATTTAAAATGGACGATTTTTTCGCCATTGATGATGGGGTTGCATATTTCATAGTGCACGAAACGCTGTCAAAATATCATGAAAAGATAGGGCTCGAAGAGCATTCTGACATTTCATACATTCGGAGTTTCAGCCTTCTAGCTCACATAGGGCCCGAGTTACGACGCTCCAAAGACCTATCTGAACTTCCTCATTGGTTTATCACCTTTTCGATCGTTGCCACTCTTTGTTACCGCTAGAGCCTATGTGACACGTGTCCTGTCGTGACGCTAGCTCGTGTATATGGCCTTGAATTTATACTCTCAGCGCTCGTAGAGAAGTTTCACTTCAAAAATTGCCGCTTGGAAAGGAGGAGCGTTTCAAGTCAGCCAACTTTATCATTCGGTCGTTTTTTTAGAGCAATGTAATATACAAACAAAAAGTTTTAACTATTCCTTTCTTATATGGGTTTTCTGTATACAGAAGTTTTAATAAATCCCTCATTTCAGTTAAAAAGGACATCTAGAAACGGCAGAGCTCAATCGTAAATTTGATGGGATCGTTTTGTGAGTTGAGATGATTGAGGAAGGAATCCAATTGTCTATCGTTTCCGTTTCAGATTATGAAAGTATCGTCAACATATCGAAGCCAGATTTTAGGTTTGACGACTGCAGAGCTAATGGCATGGGTCTCAAACTATTCCATATAGGTATATTACATAGCTTAATTAGCTATCACTGGAGAGAACGAGGAACCCATCGGCATAAACACCATCTTTTTGAGCATAAAACTTACATTTAACTTGAAAGTACGAATTGTGTAGACAGCACTTCAAGAGTTCCATCGCTTCCCTATGAGGCAGAAGTTGTATGTATGTATTTCCGGATTTACAGCGTTCTTCGTCGCCCTCCGGTCTCCATGCGCCACCTCCGTCTATTGTCCCAATCACCTGGTAGTAAGTTCCTTTCCGACATGGCGCTGTCGATTCCTTGATTCCAGGAAAGTTTAGGTCGGCCTCGTTTACGTCTGTCTGTAGGGGTCCACTGCAACACTTGCTTCGGTATTCTATCGTCAGCCATTCGTTGTACATGGCCGTACCACTGCAGTTGTTTTTCTTGTATATCTCGTACAATGTTACCCTCCACCTTCATTTTTTCACGTATTCTCTCGTTCCTAATTCTGTCTAAACGGGAGATTCGGGCTGATCTTCGCCAGAAGTCCATTTCGATCGACATCAACTTCTTTTTATGTTTTTCGCTTAACTGCCATACTTTAGAGCCATATAACATTACGCTTTCAGAATCGCGTTATAAATCAGTTTTTTCTGTGATCCGAGATATACCTGAACCAGAAAAGCACCGAGTTCAGCGCTCCTATCACCTTTCTGCCTTTACCAATCCGTTCTTCGATTTCCTTTTCGCATCTCCCTTTGCTTGCGATTTTTACCACTAAATACATATATTCTTCGCAACCTTCAATTTTTATATTGTTATTTAATACTAGGTCTTCCAAATCGCCACCAACACTTCTTCTTCTTGTTTAGCTCCAGTCCCTATTTCTCGTATTCCTCTATCAGTTTTCTGGTCATGTATTCTAGGTCTTCTTTGTCTTGGGCCATTACTATCTGGTCATCGGCGAAATGCAGAGTATACAGAGGTTGTCATTAATAGATATTCCCATCTGAGAGCACTTCTTGCGCCAGTGCTTAAGAGCTTCTGATAGGTAGATTTTACATAAAGTTGGAGACAGACAACAACCCTGTTTTAGACCTTTTGATATTGGGAATAATTCAGATTGTGTTGGGCCTATTAAAATTCTTGCGGAACAATTGCAGTAAAGTTGCTGTACCGCTTTTATTAGTGTTATATTTATTGGGCTTTTTCGAGAACTTCCCATAGTTTCTTAATTGGTACCGTATCATAAGCCTTACTAAGGTCCACAAACAGGAGATCAATTTGGTCGTTATTCGTTGCCGTCTTTTTCTCAATGATCTGAGTTATTGGAAAGATATTGTCAATGCATGAGCGGCCTGCTCTGAGGCAGAAGTTCTTTCAGAAAATGTTATGTGTGCCCTCAATCTAGCCTTGACAATGTCTAACAATTCCTCCAATGGGACGTTAGTATATAAATTTTCTACATCAAAACTAATAAGTTTGTCTGAAGGACCTAATTCTATGTTCATAAGTATTTCTACAAAATGTTTTGAATTTTTAACAAATGAAGTTGTTTTTCCTACTAATGGTTGGACAATTTGAAGGAGAAGTCTACTTAAATTGCTAGTTGCTGAATCTCTGGAACTAGTGATAGGTTTCAGTGGTAGACCATTTTGTGAATTTTGGTAACCCATATAGATGTGGTGGTTTACTATGACGTGGTGTGTCTGATGTTAAATTATCATGTATTTAATTCTTATATATATATTTGGACAATTTGAAGGAGAGTCTACTTAAATTGCAAGTTGCTGAATCCCCTGCAAAATTGAGCCCCTTGCTAAAAATTTGTCCTACAGAACTGTAGAGAACCCTAGAGAATAAGTTGACAAATGTTTTTACATCTCCATTGGCTCTGGTATCTGGAAGCAGCCAGTTTTCTCTGGATGTCTCCCTTTAATTCTATGGCACCCTCCTATTAACTTTCTCCATTATTGGTTCATGGCCTTCTCCCAAAGTGAATTTTTAATTTCTTCAAACCTTTGCTGGATGTCATTTAGCAGTTGTAATTTTTTTCCATCTGTGATGATAATTTATTTGGGAACGAATCAATGCTCGACTAGCGTTGTCTAATCTTGCTCGCTTGGAAGGGTGACTTGATGTAAAGCCAGTGGGAATGACGATTTTTATTCCGTGTTGTACATAAGAAGGAAATATGGGCTTACTCCTTAGTAGAAATTTCTCACTGATGCCGGGTCTGTACCGGGTTTCCAACGGTACTATTTTCAACATCTACAACGTTCAATAATGTTTTAATAGATGTCGACCGATGCACCTGAATGACACGTTTCTGGTGCGCGAACTGCCAGACGCGCAAAGTTCGAGTAGACGTTAAGATTTGTGAAATTTTTCAATTCTCTGCGCAAACTTCTAATTTTTCTTTCCGTTAGAACCTTCTATGAAGTATTAGAAACTTAAAGAAAATGAATACATTCGGTAAAGTCGTTCTCTAGCACAAAGTGGGCCAGAGGTCTACGACACTATGCAAAAGTTCCATGTTTAGATCGTTAGATCTAATATTCACATTTTTAGGCGAGTTTTGGGAATATGGTAGCATGGAGTAGGTATATGGAGAATTGAGGAATATGTAGCAGTAGAGAACCACCGAAACCAGTAAAGTTTTAAAAGTGGTCTACGAAAAACAAACTTTAGAACCTCTGCAGTCTAGAAGATACTGCGATTAACAAATATCATGTGGTATGTTAAGGCATCAATATTTGTAATCATAGAAAACGATGAAAAACATTATTTGCTAAATACACTTAACGTTGCTGTTGGTTTTTTGAGTTTGCGAATAGGTGTTTCGTGGCGAGGCGGCTGCGAGAAAGAGAGACGGTCGTGGGTGGACGAAAACCAGATTTCATTCAAGTTTTGCATCGCCGAGGCGTTCTACAGACACCCGAGAGATTTGCCACGCGATTTGTCTTTAGCCGAACTTGGTCGCATAATTTTGCATAATTATTGCAGTTAATAAGATAGCAGGAAAGTGTCAATGGTACGAGAAAACGGTCGTGGGTTTCTGCAATTTGACACAGTAAAGATTCGTATTTGTGATGCTAATTGGAATTTATTCCGAAACGGACAGCTCTCAGAATCGATATTTTGTAGTTCTCTTCATTCATTCGTCTGAAATGGTGTTAAATAATGCAGATCAAAATCGAATTGATTTTCTAAAATTATTGGACAACAAAACGATGGGTGGCCAACCGTCTCTAGAATGGTGGGAGAAATTCACCAGGGCAGAGACAGGCGAAAAAAGTTTATAGTAGAACATTCGCCAGAATTCATCAGCAGATGTGATAAACAAAAACAGAAAGCTGTAGTAGGTCTACTAACAGGGCACTGTAAACTGAATAGGCATCTAAAGCTAATGGAATTGACGGACGAAGCCATGTGCAGGTTCTGTCAATCTGAAGAAGAAACGATGGAACACATTTTTTGTCGGTGCGACAGCCTGGCAAATGTGCGGTTCTCTATACCCATATAACACACAATATCCGCAGGATATTCATAGAATGTCGGAATGTCCCATTATAAGATCATCTTATAAAGACATCTATAGGATATCCTCCAGACATCCTGAAATCCTGTAGATGTCTCAGAATAGAATATCCTATGGATATCTCTGTCGTATATCTAATGTACATCCAGCTGAGATATCCAAACATGCTCATGATAATAAAATATCCTAACAATATCGTCTAGATATTTAGGAAAAATAAATAATGTACTACTTTTTATATTACATAAAATGCAATAAACCATACAGATAGATATATATATATATATTACGTCAAGGCAACAAAATATCCTGTTGGTATCTTCTGGATAATCTGGATATTTATGAGGTTGGCCACTCCCAGTAATACAGAGAATTTAAAACGCCCGCGCAAAAAATTTCCCACAGTCCATCTCGACAGTTGTTTAGTTTTGATGGTTTTTGCATCGTGTATTATTCAGTTCTTTGATTTAGTGAAATTCGAGGTGAATTCGGTCGTTTGTCGATATTGGATGGGCTTAAAAATGACTGAAACTAACAAAACTGGTTGAGTTTGACTTAGTTTTTTTCTTATACTCATAGTTCTAGCCTTGTTCTAGCAGAAATTCTATCCTAACCTCAACTAATGTCGAAAAAACGACGAACAACTCAGGTTCTCACAATGAAGAATTTGTGACAAAATTATAGGTGAAAATTTGTTGAAAATCGCTTGTTCTTTATCTCTAAACCCATTTTCGTGTTTGATCTATTCAAACAGAAATCCTATTTTTGGGTTTAAATTGTGAGTTTCTGGAATGTGTGGTGTTAGAAATTATACCTGTATCCTGTGTGCTAACTTTGATGTAAACTGTTGCTGCTAGCTCTGCTGCTAGACATAAACTGCTAAACTCCATAAAGGGTAGTATAATCTGGTATAATACCATACGATCGAAAAAAACGGCGTCAGAGGTGGCTTGGAAATGAAGATTGCTGTTATTTTGTACGTAAAATTATAGGAGGAATGTCATCGATCGTAATTTTCAAGCCAATTGAACGCCGTTGATGGTACAGTATAAATTGAAAGCTCTTAACTCATACAAATAAACTTCTAAATTTTGACGCAAAATTCAGTGACATAATATGTAGGTATATTTTAGAGCTGTTAATAAAAATATCCAATGAATAAATGTCAAAATGTGGCTAAATAAAACTAAATCGCGAACGTTTTTACTATAAACTAAGGATGAAGTAAGTATTGTCAAATAACAGTCTTCATATAATGCCCTAAAAATATTCTATAATGCTCCCAACATCATCCTTGTATTATCCTAGAAATATCCCAAATAATCGTAAAAGGCTTGCCTAGGGATGTCTTGAAGATGACTTTTTTTGCCCCACTTGGATATCCCATAAATATCCTCCTCTGGTTTTTGGATATCCCTAAGATATGTACTATATCCTTGGTGGATATCCTCAAGATATCTATAGGATTGTGTTGTGTTATATGGGTAATAAGCAATTACAATAGGCCATTAACAGACAGCTACATGGAGGGTTCCGTATCCAAGCTTCTAGACTTTTTGAAAAGGATACAACTCGAAAATGTAACTTAAGGATCAGAAGAGGACCGCAATAGATCTGAAAAGGTCGCAGCGGATCAGGCCGATAGCCATCTTAATTTGTGCCACGGATATGGATATCACTATAGATACAATGATTCAGCGATATGTTTGACGTGAATAATACTGAATAGATATACAAAATATTAATAGTATATTATTCAATGCGCATATAATGGTGGCTGTTATGAATAACAGCCATTATATGCGAGGACTATCAAAAAAATTTAGATAATTTTAATATAAGTTTTTATTTTTAATGTCAAAAAAATATTGAATGAGTATAACGTGTAAGTAACATGGAAACAAAACATTGAAATTTTCTATATTTTGTGCGTACAATCGCATTCCAAGCCGGTTTGGATCGAGCACAGCTCTTGTTTGGAGTTTGGATTGAGATATCCGTGGAAGCGGTGAATAATAAAACCATTATTAACTAGTGAATAATGAATATTATTATTATTTTATAAACCCATGTAATA